ATATAATAATTTGATAACATTGATGCATTTACCTATGAGCAAAATCTTGGCATTCCCTGGATTCAATAATGATGATGTGTCATTTGCAAATCTGCCATAATACACCTTGTTTGCTCCCTCCCCTGCACCCCGAGTTTTGCATAAATGTTACTTTTGGGTTTACCTTGGCGTAAGAACCTGTGAACTTTTTCTTTCTTTTGCACCTTCTGTTTTTCTAAGTTCTGTTGTGCTGACTTATTTGTTTCCTTTGTTTTACTTCACCTGTGAGTTTAACAGGTTCCTACACCGAGGACGAGCCTTGTTTTCAGTTTCTCCTAGGTATTAAAGGGACACACCTCTCAAGTCTCTTGCTTTTGAGGACAATCTCCTGGTCTCACAAAAATGAGACACAAAAATCTGAGTCTTGGTAAACAGATTCACAAGCCGATGGAATACAATTTTCTTGAATATTTTCATTTTTGCCTTGTAAAAATTATTTTCAGGCACCAATTCTGTAGAAATCCACAGTTCTAATGCTATATGTTTGATAGTCTTGTCGACAAGATACAGACCTCAAAACCATATTTAGAAGACAAATGGCAAATAAGGTTATCGTTACTAGTTCGTTGCATTAAGATACGTTTCCTCTTGCCAAAATGGCGGAAATGCATGAATATTCATTGAGCAAAGACAAAGTTCAAAATAGAATGAGAAAGTTCGTATCCTGTTAAACATATTCTTGGCGATCCATTTTTCGTTTTTATGTGTTCCCTACACCTGGTTTTTTACCCCAAATTTCCAGGATTTTTGACCTTGATCTCCAGGTTTTTGGTCTTTTGGGGTTGAGAGGTCTGCAGTCAGCTATGGGACCATGCTGACATGGACACTAGCTTGGCCAGTGCGAAAAGCCTTTACCTTAACCTGAAATCAAATATACGCATCGGATACATCTAGAAATCCACTTCAATCTTGCCTAGTGTTTCCTTCAATCTTCAATCTTTTACTGAAAACCGCTTTTGGAGCCAACTTTGATTCATAACTGAGGTTAAAAATTACATCTGCCGTGCAGGCGGAGAGAACCCAGAGTTGCGCCAGCTACTTGAATATATTTCGCAGGCTAGTCTACATCCCCCTAGGTTCAGGGGCCTTACAGCCCCTCGATCGTCACATTCACCTGCTTTTCCAGAGTCGGCCGCCTACTTCAAAATATTTTGAAATCCCTGATGGAGATTTATCCGGTGGATAGCGTTAGCCAGCCTTTGAACAACCGAGGCCACTAAGGTCCTTGCAAGAATAATGTTTCCCTTTTTTTAATTTTTCGCCGGATAAGATCAGAACCAACTATCGGTCAGCAGTGAACGCTGAAGACTAAACAGCCAGGCTTTATATTAATCATTCCTAATACTTACTTCGCTCGTTCCAGGGCCGAGTCTATCAAACACGCTTCTCCTTGTCCCGGAACCCGAACTTGAACTTTGACCACCACTTTCAGGTAACTTTTTGCTACCTTCCACCGTCACCTTGCGTGTTAAACGTGTTCCAGACATAAAGAACTCCGAATAGTCTTTTAACGCGTTCAATCAAGCAGCAACATACATTCTATTCAGTCAATTTCAGTCGCCGTGAAGTCGCCATCTTTAACAATTTGTAGCCTCGCAATTTAGGAGCCCGCATGAAAGTACCAGCGGATTGGTTTCTACTTTATGCGCAGAACAGTACACGTGCGCAAAAATTCTTCAATATGGCTCCCAGTTGAGTAGTGATAAGGAGAACACGAAAAACAAGTCTATAATTCAGTTTCTTTGGCTTATTTTATTATGAGTACACAGGAGACAGGTGGTGGCTTAACCAAATGGCAAATCGCAGCCTTAATTGGGGTGCCTGTTGCCGTAGGTTGTGTGTTAGGCGCGTTTTATTATTGGAAGACCTCAGAAAACGCAGTGGAGGATCAAGAAGATACAGAAAATGACGTAACTAGCAAACAGAGTGATGCGTCTGCCAACGAAGCTCCTGACAGCGAAGATGTTTCTGAGCAGAAACAGGTACATTGAATTGAAGTTGTCACATTATCCCTTAAACTAGAAAAGTGACCGGTGATTTACGTTACTAGTGCAAGCCTGACACCTCCTTCTCTCTCGTAGCCTCTTGTATCCCCACTCATCGATCGTCTTGATCAGCCCCGTACGTGAGATATGAGGATGCAAATTCTCCTTAGTTGTCGCCTCTTATTTTTTTTCATCGTGTTTTGAATAAAAGGCTTAACTACAGAATACAGGGCAAATATACTTTCTTGGGCTCGGTAGTCTCGACTTGATGAGCCACCGAACCATTGAGCCATTAAACACCGAGCCACTTCTGCAGGGCTGTCAACCCCCGTATTTAAATATTAAGAATTGATAGGGAAGGAATGATAGATGACGTCGTAACGTTCAACACATGACATCATTCGCGCAAAAAAGATACTCTTTGACTCCAGTCATCACGAATTTGTGATGACACAAAATGCGCGAAAAAGATGTTGTTGGCATTTTAACATTTGACCTGATTGGTTCACTTCCCACCAATCACATTATTTCTTATATTACAATGGCATATCGGAGTTTTTTGAGAAAAAGTTTGATGTTAACAGCTAAAACAATGCAAAATATTTGAAATTTTATTGTCGGAAAGTCAAGTTTACAAGAAATGGCAACTTCGGTGATTATCCTTGAGATTTCAGACTCTAATCTTGAGTCTGGAAGATACGGTCCAAAATCTGGAGTCTCCGGGATTATCCGGGAGAGTTGACAGCCCTACTTCTGTTTAAGACCTTGAAATATGGCCGTGAATTCTGTAGTTGCTGCAAGCTTTTTTAGTAAATACAAGTATAAGATGAGAGAAGTGGCGATCAGTTCATTGCTCTCATACGCCGCTGATCTGCCTCTGATATGTAGCTGCCCGTACCAACTGTGATACTGTACCTCCAACACATAAGAACATACTCTCCCACCAACAAAATCATCATGGTCTTATGCCAATATACATGAGCTTCACAGGCATTCTGGCATTTAATGCTGGGGTAGCCTCGATTGGCGATGACTTTTGTTCTGATGTTGATACGGTATCTCGAGCATTACTGCTGGCTATGTTGTAGGTAGATCAGCAGCATTTGGGAACCATGCTTAAGAATTATTGATGTCAGACTGAATGTTTAAATATTATTAATAATTATTAATAATTATTTATTTTAGTAATTGTTATTTGCTTATTGCTTGTGAGAATTGATTGTGTGAATGATAAATGAAAATTTGAATGAAAGACACCCTCTTTTTCACTCACAAACTTTGTTGGCTACTTTAATATTACTAAAACCCCTGCTAGTGATATTACAGTATTTTATATTTTACTTAAAGAATTTTGACTTTTTTTGGCTTTCTCCACTATTAAGTGTGAAAGGGTTAATATGAGTATGTTTGTTGGTATTTTTCATCTTGTATACAGCTGTCCCCTGCAGAGCAAGCTCAAGCAGTTAAACTAAAAGGCAACAAGTATTTCAAGGGTCAAAAATATGATCAAGCCATTAAATGCTACACAGAAGCCATTAGCCTCTGTCCAGAAGAAAACAAGACTGATCTTGCAATGTATTACCAAAACAGAGCAGCAGCTTATGAACAACAGGTAAACATTTTTGCTGATTAAGCTGACACCAATTTTTAGGATATCATCTTAGGTAAATCATTTGTGGACAATCGTGCAACGTAAATCAAAGTCAGCTAGTAAGGCAAGTAGTACAAATACCATTTGTTTACAAATTATGAAAAAGGCAACATTTTGCAAGGGTCATCATTATGTTTTAATATAATAACAAAATAATAAAGATCGATAAAGATTTGAATATTTGGAAGCTGCTAGCCTTTCTTTCTAAAACTGAAAAGTGGATAATCTGTTGACAGCTCTGTTTGTAACAGTATACTGACTTGAATAATCTGTTTTTATTGTAGAAAAACTATGAGCAAGTCCTTGCAGATGCTAGTAAAGGTTAGTGAAGTGTCAGCCTTAACTTTATAGAAGACAAATGGGGTACGTTTGGAAAGTCTTGATTTCAAACCATGTTGTATTATCTGACCAACATTTTTTATTTATTGTGTATTGTTACATTGATTAAGTACTGAAGCTGTCATAATTTTATACAAGTCATATATGTACAAAGCACTGTCAGTCCATTGCCACAATCAGAGCAGGATGTTAAGCCTGTGGTATTATCCTTGTTTTCTCAGCCATAGAATTCAATACAAAGTATTCCAAAGCCTTCATGAGAAGAGCACGGGCCTATGAACAGCTAAACAGAAAGGCGGAGTGTTTGCAAGGTAAAACAATGAGCTTCAACTGTGCTCTTCATGTATAAAGGAAGAGTAAATTCTTCAAGCTCAGTTCTACAGAAATTGAGTCTGTGTGGGTGTCCTGAAGCATGTGGCATGACTGCAACTATGCCTCTATGTTTTCCGGTTTAAGTTTCGTTTAGGTCATTTGGATGCCTTTTTGCCTCGAAAAACGTTATGATTTCCTGCTTGAGCCATCAGACTTACAAGGATTGACCAAATGCTAGGGAAGTGTTCTTGCAGGTGTCATTGTTTCTGGAATTGCTTGAAATGAAGCTTTAGAAAGTTAGACCTTTTCAACTTTGCCTGTGGGGTTTTTTAGTACATGTATAAATTTTGTTGAAGTCATTTGGACACCTTTTTGCATAGAAAATATTTATGATTTCTTGCATGATCCATGACTTGTGACGATTGACTGAATCAGAATGCTAAGGAACTGTGCCTGATGACATCATTCCTGGAATTTCCTGTATTGAAGCTTTAGCAGTTTATCATGACTGTTTGTTGTTATTGATTGTTGTGGTTATGGATCATCTTAAGTCACTGCATCTCCTCCATTTCCATCAACAGATCTCACAGCTGTGTGTATGATTGAAGGTTTTAATAACCCTAACTGGATGATGCAAGCAGATAGGGTCTTGAAAGAAATAGGGAAAGAAAAAGCTCAGGAATACTGTAAGGTATAAGCCACATTACATGGGCGTAGTATTAGTAAAGCAATTTATGTATCGTAGAGTATAATTTTTCCTTGCAAAACAGAATAATGCAAGCATAAAATTAAAAATGGGCTACCTTTGTTTCTGAAATGTACTGTTAATTCGTTGTTTACCAAGTCTTGTTATGAGTGATTTTTTTATTTTGTTAGTGTCAAAAATAATGCAAGCAGTGCAGTAATGATTATAATTCTGAAGTAAATGTTGGCATTCTAAACAGGTGCAGATCCACGCGTATTATGAAAATTGGCCAGATTTTTCATAACAAACATGTTTTTAATAATAAAAGAAAAACTTTCCAAGCTGAAATCTTGCTCCATTTCCAATATAACAAGGAAATTAACCTTGTTGTAGTAATTCACCTATTTGCAAGGCTTCATCCAAGGTGAACGGAATGGGCCAACATCCTGTCTGAATGACTCAGAAGCCCAGGAAAAGGGACTTTAAAGAGTTAAAATCCATAAAATTTCCTGGTGGAGCATACCCCAAACCCCGCTAGAAGGTGCATCTTTGGCCCTCCTTTAGCAAATCGGTCAGTTTTATTTATCCTAGATCCGTGCCTGCTGAACATGTCTACTTTCTGCCCTAGTGGTTTTCGAATGACCTGGCAGCTACCAAGTTTTGTAAAATTGAGCTTTCTATGTTAAAGTTTTCCTCATTTACTTAATCTTTGCAGAGAAGGAGGACGGCTCTACCTTCACCAACTTACATCAAAGCTTATTTAGAATCTTTTCGTCATGGTAAGTTTTGGCAGGCATAAAAAGTCTTTTTAATTAACAGAATATTTTTCTAATATTCAACAATAATTATTGTTTCTCCCCCTGGCCTTCCCCCAATCCCTTGAAAGAGTTTCAGGGAGCCCACATCCCACATTAGAAACCAATTTTTGGGGTAGTTTCTTGCATCTTGATGACTATCTTCTCCACGTAACAAGTTATAATTTATTGGGTGATTTATATAATTAGGTTTTTTAATAGCTGTGGGTTATTTTCCCCCTCTTTAAGGTTACCTTGAAAGAAATGAATAATTACGTGACTCTTGATACATGTATCTTGGTTTGTTGAAGATGACACTTTGGAAGTGAATTCTACAGAAGATGTGCCTGAGGATTCACCTTTTCTAGAAGCTGTTAAACAGATGAAAAAAAAGAAATATGAAAACATAGTGGACTTGTGCACTCAGCAAATTGAGACAGGTAGACTTGGGACTATGTGTTCTTGTTAAACCATTTAATACAACAGATACCACAAAGGATTGTAAGAGCATAATATTGTCAGAAATCTCCGAGTTAGCTCAGTTGGATAAGCATTAGTCTGCCAAGCGGGAGGCTGCTCGTTCAAACCTCAGCCAAACCAGTGTGTTGGGTCTCTAAATGACTAAGGAGAAAGTGCTGCCTTTGTAAAGACATCTGCAAACAGTTAGACTTTCTAGTCTTCTCAGATGAGGACGAGAAACTGTATGCCCCGTCTCACAACCCTTGCACGTAATTATAACTGTAGTCCCCAGGGTGATGGTCTATATCTCATGGGGGGAGGGACTGTTGCACGCCTGTAGAAATTGGCACCAAAAGCTGTTGCAGTGACCCTGCCAAGAATTGGTGACCCTAAGTAAATAAATCTAAGGAGGCAGGCTACTCATAATTATGCCAATCACATCAAGTACATCTTGATTGCATCTGCAAACACTTGTGCTGTAATGCATGTAGCCCCTTGTGACATCTTTTGATGGGGAATGCAAAACATACTGTATTTGACACAAGTGTGAGATACTTGATTTTTGTGGCCACCACTCAGAGACCAAGTTAGTTTTACCCCTTTGTTGCTTCAGAGATTGTGCTAATCTTTATCACTTTGAAGAGTGCAAAAAAAAGTCAAAATTCTTTAAGAGTCATATCTTAATATTATCATGTACACATTTTGTCAAGGCCCAGGACCACTTTACCTCAGGGCTTTTGCTCTGAGAGGAACTATGTACACACTGATATCAAATATAGATGAAGCCATCCAGGATTTGACTCAAGTAATAGATGCTGAAAGTCTGGAAGACTTGACCAAGGTACTCTTGCAACTTCCCTGTGTTAATTTACTTGCATTCTGCCAAGAATCATTCACACCTAACTGCCAATCACCCAGTTTCAAATACCCAGTATTCTGGAACCACAAAATCTTTGGCGAGCAACCAGATCTTCAAAAAAGTTGCAAATTTCCGAACCTTTCCAGACCTCAGTAGAATGTTTGGATCCAGAACTTAAACCATTTAGCCATGTATTTAAATTTCAAAACGTCCACCACATAACAAACTGCATATGTTTATATTTTTATTCTCTTGGTACTTTAAATCACATGTGAATAAATTAAATTTAAATCCCTAATTCCCAAGTGATTGTTCATTCAGTTGAAGGTAAACTGCCTGATCAAACGTGGAAGTATGCAGCTACAAGCCGAAAATGTACAGGAATGTGTCAAAGATTTTGATAAGGCAATAGAACTTGATCCTGATAATTCAGATATTTATCACCACAGGGGACAGGTTAGTGCTTTTTCAACATTTTTTTGAAAACACATACCCTCTAGGTAATGAAATTCACAAATAATAATGTATTTGGTGGTTAAACCCTTTTAATGTGGACTCAAAAGGGACCAAGCCAAGAGTCCACTTTACAGAGGTGTCTGTATTACAGTCAAACCTCGTTAATATGGACACCAAAGGGACAGAGCCAAGTGTCTGCCAACATCCTTAATACAGATACCAAAGGGACAGAGCCAAGTGTCTGCACTACAGAGGTGTCTGTAGTACAGTCAAACCCCCTTAATTCAGGTGTCCACTAATTACAGGCTTGTTTTACAGAAAATATGGGAAGAATCATTTCCTAACTGCGGCAGGATTAGCTCAGCCCGTAAAGCACTTGACTGCAGAGCGGGAGGTGGTGGGTTTGATCCTCAGGGCCAGACCAATACTCAGGGTCTTAAAATAGCCGAGAAATGAAGTTACTCCCTTTGCACTGTATTGCACTGTGGCTCGAATGACCACATAAAATGGCGGTCCGGAGACGTAAAAATAGTGTCCCCAATTAGTACTTTGCTGCTAAATACACTGACACTCAAAGTGCTCTTTTTGATAACACTGTACTGAGCCATTTGTCCACTTATTCACTTTTTCTTGCCTCTCTTTCAGATCAACTTCCTGTCCGAAAGACTCACTCAAGCCAAAGAAGATTTTGAGAAGTGCATATCACTAAATGACACTTTCATTCCAGCTAGGATCCAGCTTGCATATTGCATTTACAAGTCTGCTGCCTTGCAGCAATCTCCAATCCTTGCTCATGGAGCAGTAGAAATGTTGCAGAAAACCGTGGAGAATTACCCCGACTCAGCGGATGCCCACAGTCTTTTTGCACAGGTTTGTGAGGGATTATGAAATCCAAAGTCGGCTATATTCTTTTACATCTATTTTTAGCACACTACTTACAGATCCTTTTAGCCTGTTGCAGGCGTTCAGATGGAAACCGGTCGTTTCGATACGAACTCAAGCAGTGAAATTGGACAAAAAATTATGATCACTTCAGGTGAAGTTTGCAATTGAACAAGAAAAACATTTTGGGTGAATATTCTTCGTTGTTTAAGCCAAGTACGTAAAACTAAGTGCACCTTGATGGAATTAACTTTTATCGAAACGACCGGTAACCGAGAGGAGGCTCTCACCCCCTTCCCGAACCTCTCGCTGTTTTTCCTTCTCACATTTCTTTGCGCCGTCTCACAATCTGAAAGCCTGGAACAGGCTAAGATCTCTTCTTCCCATCGTTGAGATCGAGCACTAACCATAGTTTCAAATTAAAACCTTTAAATCCACTGCTTCATTGTGAGGTACGGGTTAGCTCGTGCCCGTACCGGCGCGGTCAATATGGGTGGACAGCGTCTTAATCTCTATAAAAAAAGCAAGGCTACCGGGCCTGGTAGAACGATGATCTGTTTGTTTAGGTAATTTTACCCTGTACACTTGCGTTTGAATTTAAACATAATTTATCGTAATGTTCTGATTTACATTGATGCCAGGTACTACAAGATATGCAGCAGTTTGCAAAAGCCGAGGAGCACTTTGACAGGGCAATAAAGCTTGAACCCTATAACCCGGTTCATCTTGTCTATAAAGGGTTGGTATCAAAATGACTTTTTAACGTTGCCTGGTTTAAGAAATGTGTTAACCAAGAAGTAATTATTTCTACATTATTTCTATAAACAATGTTTTATCCGATGTCCAGAGGCTGAGTTGGAAAAAAAAGCAGAAACCCTGTTTGGAGTTTTTTTTAACGATTTCGTCGTGTCTGGATATCGAATGAAACACTCGTTAAAGAAAGGAAGCTGCTTCACTGGTCAACAATTCTTGATTTAATAATATGTATGGCAAAAAAGTGAAGCCAATTTCTTAACCTTTTTAAAAGTATTTGATTTTATGTAGAGGAGGTGAACGCCTCTATTTTCCTTCAAATTACCTTGCAAATTACCATAAAGAGTATAAGAAGATCGCTATGGACAATGTTTCCCTTTTAGCAGAGGACTCTCACGGCAAGAAAAAACTGGGAGAAAGGAGAGAGATCTCTGCTGGCCTCCGACGCGTTCTTTCATTTAGCCGCCGATCATATTTGTGGTCTAAACTTACTGGTTTTCAAAACCAGTTTCGTTTAAAGTGGAATGCGCATGCCCTTTTGAGACTTTACGCTGGGAATTTATGAGCCCACGGTTGTCATCGGCAAACCGGTTCTGTAATGTGTCCGTCTGTTTTTAAAATAATTGCGGCAGCTTAAACTGATTGGTTTAGAAAGTGAAGCAAGGTGTTTTCAGCTTAAGAATGCAGGTCAATGACTTGCAAACAAGCTTTGTTCTAACTCATTGTAATAATTTACTTTGAAGCATGCTGATGCTACAATCACGACAAGACGTTGAGAAAGCAGTTGAATTGGTTAACGAAGCCTTAGAGATCGACGAGAAGTGTGACTTTGCTTACGAAACCTTAGCCACGCTTGAAGTTCAAAGGTGCTGTATTAAATAATCTTGGGGTGCCTTCCATATGGCGAAACTAGCTGCCCTCACTAGCCGGGGAATAAAGCCACCTCTACCTCGCTCCTCGCCGCTTGGGACGTTTCGCGGGAGACCCGAGATGTCCCTAGCGGCGAACAGCGAGGAGAGACGGCTGTATTTGAAGGTTAAACCGATCAGTGCAAAATGACTTGACCTCCAAAGGAGCGCTGTAAAAATATAGGGGCCCTGAGAAAGCCCTAAGCCCGCCCCAAATACGATTAACAATGGACACCGCTAGCCAGCGGACACTCTAGCCAGCGTTTTCTCGCGTTTAACCTCGCCGAAATTACATTTAGCCACGTCTACGGGTAAATCACTCACCAGAACAGACGTAAAGAGAATTCTTTTATTAATAAGGACTGCCTAGCCAGATCAGTATTTTCCTAAAAAGTATGTAGGGCAGAAGAATGGGTTTTTCAGCGAAAACGTTCAATCCATTTTCGAAATAATTTGTCTTGTTGGAAGCCACACTTTGTCTGCTGCTAATGCTTCTTGTCAGTAAACTCGCAAATGCGACTGAGATTTTTTTGCGAAGATTCGACAAGACTTGTTCGAATCATACCTTCTTCGTTCCGTAATAATACTAGCATTTGAAAATGTAACCTCTTTAACCTTTTTCGTTTTTCACTTTTCCTTACAGGGGTAACCTGGACAGAGCAATAGAGTTATTTAACAAAGCGATCGACTTGGTCAGAACAGAAACCGAACTGGCACAGACATTTTCCCTTCGCGAAGCAGCCAAGGCACAAAAATATGTCACCGAAACACTAGGACTTACTCCGCCAACTGTTCCCTTCATGTCTTAGGGACTTTTATGAAAAAAAAAATATGCAAGAGGTCTACCGTAATAGCCTGTTCACGGACGACAATTCGACAGCGCGAGAACGATCGCGTTCGGTCAATAAATCTACGCGCGCTGTTGAGGCCTCAAATGTAATAAGTGACCCTAAATGTAATAAAGGTCCTAATTGTAATAACTTTTGGCCCCAAATCTAATAATGGTCCTAAATGTAATAACTTTTGGCCCTAAATGTAATAACGGGTCCTAAGTGTAATTCTTTCAGCTCTTATTATGCTTATGGTCATAAGAAGATTTCATAGTGTTGGCTTTCAGCCTTATTACAGGTTAACTGAGCGCATGAATGTGTCAAGGGAAGAATCACTAAATACACGAGGCAGATCCCGTATATAGCCATTTGAGTAACAACTTATTATTATTCATGTGGTGAAATCCTGGAAAAAGAAGTTAGCATAAAAATTCACTTCAAGAAGTACTCCTGGTAGAAATTAAAATCAAAGTCAGGAAGTCCGAAAAACTATCAAGATATACTTCCCTTAATATCTTGCTGTTTATATATAACTTCGTGTTCACAGCATTCTGTATGGACCGACCGATATACTCTTTTGGAAAATGATAAAAAAAACCATTTCTTTTTTTGGCGCAACATTAAAAAACCCCATAGGCAAAAGTAGTTAATTTACTACGACTGTTTCTAATGCACATTAATACTTCCTTCAGTTCAATTACTAAATTACTACTGTATTTTGAAAACTTTTGTGTAGATTCCAGTTGTTTATAACTCGCGTTTTACGATGTAGGGATCATGTAATAGGAAACACGATCGAGACGTAGTTAATTTATAAGTGTTTCTCCTACTTCTTGAGCGCTCTAACCGCTTTCTAAGTTTATGAATATCTATGAAGACTACAATAGGGCGAAGAAAGTGAATCGCCAGCTGGCTATAAAATTAATATCGCATCAGACCGTCGCATGTTTCAGTCAGGGACTTTATCAAGTTTGGGGTTGTTATACTACATACATGCAGTATACTGTTAAGACTTCCATTACATTTAGGGCTAAAACCCATTACACATATAATATTATGAGACGCTTTATTACATTTAGGGCCAAAAGTTATTACACTTAGGACCTTTATTACATTTAGGGTCGTTTATTACATTTGAGGCCTCAACAGCGCTCGACAATCTTTAAAAAGAAAATAGAGGGTCTGTGAACAGGCTATACCGTAAGAGCTCTTAATTCTTTCTTTTCTAACTGCTTCCGTTATCAAAACTGTGTGAAAAACTGTAACTTAATTCGACCGAATAGTGACCAACAAATGGTATAATGAGAAATGGTTATCGTAAGATCTCTTTTAAGTCTTTCATTTCTAACTGTAACTCTGAAAAGAAGTTAACACCATTTCACAGAATAGGGACTTACAAATCCTAAGCGCTCTAAGAGCACTAGAGCTTTAGTTTAGTTCACTCTTTTAAAACTGGGGGCGAGGAGGGAGGGTCATTTTTAACAGAGGCCAGGAACATAAACTGTTAGCGCAACAGATTGTTGTTGAAAGTTTTGCAAAGTATTTTAAAACCACATATAAAATGATTTTGAGCTTTCTTTTGTCTATAAGGTCCCCAGTACTTGGCCCTGACTAGCTCTTAAAGGGGGACTGTATTTACTGTAATACTGAAATCACGTTCCGAATGTGATTTCTGTGTTCGATAACAGGATTGTATCTATGTTTCTTTTTAAAAGGGTATCACAGCCTGCTATTGCCTCAGGTTGTTAAGATACAATCCGATTTTCCAACACAATCAGAACGTTTGTAATTTCTGTATGACAGCAAATGATTTCGGTGAAGTGCACGAGGGCAATACACACTGGCAGGAGCCGATTACTTGCCCCTGACACTGGCTGAAGGTGTCCCTTTATTGTATTTGAGACAGTCATTTAACATCGTGGTTCTGTACTGTTTCCTGTATTTACAATGTTTAATGTGAATGCAACCTCGTTCTCAGGGTTCTCTCCTACTCGTCTCTTCCTCTCCGGTTTCAAATCGAGGGGGATTGGTACGAGCTATGTACTTAACTTAGAGATTTATGGTTGAGAATTTTATAGGGCTCGATCCCATAATTCGCCACTTGCACATCTCCCATAATACACCTTACTTGCCCCCCCCAAAAATCTTGCATAAGTATTGTTTTCAATTTCTCTTGGCATAGCTGTAATACCCAGGAGAAGGGGGGCAAACAAGGTGCGTTGTAAGATGCCTTATGGGAGATGTGCAAGTGGTGTATACAAAGTCTCCTACCTAGTCCTCCTCTGTTTGAAAATACGCAATACTTTTATTGATTTATCAACGCATCAAGTTGAAGAGAACCCCGGGAACGATAGGTTAAATGTGAATGGTGCGAGAACCTATGAAAGCCACTCTCCTTTTGCCCGTAGTGGTCTTTTCCGGGGATCATTCCGATAAGCTGACAGCTCCAGTTACGAACACTTTGTCTGTTTGCTTACGGGCGTTTTCCTTTGATCTCGTTGTAAAAGTTGAATGTGACTGAGTAAAAGTTAGGGTGGGTATAGGGGAAAGGGTCAAGGGTCAAAAGGGATACAGTCGACTCCCGATGATTCGAACCCTCAAGGGAAATAGAACAAAGTTGAGTTATCGAGGGTAAAATTATATAGAAAATGATCTGAAGGGAAATGAAAATTGCTTCGAGTTATGGAGGGTTCGAGTTACCGGGAGTCGACTGTAGTACCTTCGAAATAATCTCGTACCCACATCTCTTGTTGATAAAGGCGAAGGCGCAATCTAGTCAAATCCGATTTGTACACGTGATAGTACTCCCGCAGGAAAGACGAAACATAACCCGCTTCGCGAAAATAGGGAGCCCCAGGACGCTTAACTGCTTCCGTCTAACCCTATCATAATAAGGAACCTACTTTCATGATGGAACAGTGGAGAGGAGCGACGGCTGTATTCACAGGCTAACAGGCTCCTGAACACTAAGCAGTGCAAGTAAGTTCCTTTCTCATATAAAGACCTGAATAAGTTTTAAGATCCTACGACGGCGACGGCAACGAGGACGTCAAAAAAGCGACAGGTTTAATATCCAAAACAACAATTTTTCTTGTGCATTACGCCTTTTTGTACGTACATTTCTTTGCCGTCACTGCACGACTATGACGTGAAAATGCCTATTTTCACGTTTCACAGAGGAAGTACACAACCGACGACGAAATTTCTTCGCTATTTCTGAACTTGGTTATGGTTCTTAGGAATTCAACTTTAGGAAGGTCCACCTACATTTGACAAAGTCAGTGACATGGAGTATTAAATCGCGATGAAGATTGACAGAACGCGAATTTACTTTTTCAGCGACGGTTTTGCTACCGTCGCCGTCCTCGGGTTTTAAGGTCCGTGGAAAGGAGCTACGGCTCTTGTTAGAGTGAAATCTTGCGTAACTAAGGTCACTGTCCTCCCGTTCAGGAGGGAACATGAGAGAAAGCCAGGGTACTAAAAGGGCGTTTCAGAAAACCAAACACGAGAGCGAGATTTAAGGTACTAAAATGTTATATTTAATAGCCAAATACCAGTATTCTACATTACAGCTTTCAAGGCTCCCTTAAAATGCTTACTGTGTCTATAACTACACATCTTGTAACAGTTTAACTCGGCGTTATAACCCATGATCATCGGTTGATATGCTTGATATTTTTCTTTACTGATCCCACGGGGAGCCCAAGTCAACCCATAGTCTTAACAGTAGGTCAGTGATCTCGTCCAACACTCGGTGAGGCAGAGTGTACCGCTTACTTTAATTCAGGAATACTCCAGAACAAAGTTAAGGCAAATTTTGTTTCGATAAGCCAATGACACAAATCGTAGCGATTAAACGAATTCTACGACTGATTTGAGATTGAAGGTTTAATCTAAAATTTACTGTTCGTGTACACATGACTTTTATAAAGTTTGCAGATATTCCTCGGAGTTTCCGATCACATACCAGAATTACCACGCCAGGTCAACTACTTCGAAATCATGGGCGTTTCTTGGTTTACAGGGGCCACACTTGACGATAACTATCTTAAGCACACTGAACTGGCGTGAGAAATGACTTTATTCCTCTCCGAAGATAATTCAACTGGACTGAACACCTGTCCCGTTATACCCTCAGATTTGCGAGCATGCAAGCTGGCCTTATGGCGCTCCTGTGAGGCTACTGGTTTGTCCTGACATAATTTCAAAGCCAACAACAACAGGTCGAGAAAAATCTTGCAATCCACGCCAAGAGAAAAAGAAGTTTTTCCCTCTCAATTGCCTCCCACGCAAATATTCTTACGGCTTCATCAGGCGTTCCTCCCTCACGAACGTTCTTAGGGAATGAACGTGTAACAAAGCCCCTAAGATTGTCCGCGTGAAAGGCAAGCTTTCTCAACTCACTTCCTCGAAATAAATGTGAAACTGAAGAGCGAAGACTGGGCGTAAGAACAGTTCAGAATGATCACAGTGCTATTGAAAGAACTGTTTACATAGACGTTGTGCTTTACTCGGTCAACCCTTACAATTTTGAGGCTCTGTGCCCAATAAATACTGTTATGTGTCCAAAGGAAGTGCTGGAGTTAAATATTTTAAGTTCTAGCTATTATTGTTTGACCCCTGATTCCTAGGTTATAAAATCTATAAGTTAACAAGAGAGTTTAACAGTAGAAAAATTACAATGATACCTTTCTCAAGTTTGCTTTCCTTTACGCAAGGATTGAGAAGTAGATATAAAATTCTTACTGATTACCGGTTTCAACAGAAGTGAACGTCAAAGAAAAAAAAAAACGAAGAAAACAATTCAGGCAACGAAGAAACCGAGCTGTCATGCTTCACTTGTCATTTGTAAATCAAATTTTGTTTTACTAAGAAAGTGTTGTTCCACTGCTTAACTCTCTTGCGAAATACTCTACTGTATGATAAGGACTATAAAAAGCTACCTTTCTGCAGTTGCGCATTTGAGAACGCTTTTGCACCTACTACCAAAATAGAGCTTAAATACAATCAGAGATTCTCAAAGAGATCGGAAAATACCCTGCACAAATGAGCAGACCATCCCGCGCATTGTTGTACAGCGCCGGGCTACAAAGAACTTTGCTAAAACCAATTCTACAAGACGTTAGTGCAGGGTATTGATGGTTGACTTAGGCAATACTGTTTCACTGTCATAAACTGTTACTTAGTAGTCATAAAACCGGTAAGTGGGGTTTTCATAGCCATTCTCCTGCATGTTAACAAGGTGACTTTTCTCTGTGGCGTTGTCTTCATCTCCGTCTACAAGTACCGTCTTGGTGTTATTCCTGGGGCGACTGCGACGCATTGCCATGGCAACAACAATGATCACCATGATAACCAGGGCCCCACAGCTTAGTCCAATGACAGCAGAGAAGGTGGCTTGAGAATGGTATCTCTTCCGGAACTCGCCTTCCTCGTTCTCAGTGACGTCATCAACATCATCACCAGGGTCAGGTTTAACATCACCTGGTTTATCATCGTTTGTCTTCCTTGCAGCGGCAACACCATGAGCTGGAAGACAAGAGAAATCTGTAAACCTCTGTTTATAACACTACCCCCCTCCCCTCATCCACCTGTAAACAAAAAAACATCCGCTTATACGCCCCCTCTGGCTCGTATTGAAATATTTGTAGTTTTAGATCATCAACATCAGGTTTCAATTAGGGCAAAATGTTGGGTTAGGGGAGGGGTAGGTGGGCAGTTTCCCAGAAACCTACATTGATCCAATATATATGTAACTTTTTGGAAACTTTCTTTGAAGCTTAAAAAAAAAAACAAGTACCTTCAGCATGTACTTTGACCAGCAGTGTTAGGTACCTTGTTTCTGAACACTTTCATTAGAATTAATTCAGTTATAAGAACCCCCACCCCACCAGCTCCAGAAGTACCTTCAGCATGTATTTTGATCAGCAGTGTAAGGTACCTTGTTTCTAAACATTTTCTTTAGAATTAATTCGGTTATAAGCCCCCCCAGAAGTACCTTCAGAATGTATTTTGATCAGCCGTGTTTGATACCTTGTTTTGAGGCACTTTCTTTAGAATTCAGTTATAAGCTCCCTGACCCTCATATAAGCTCCCCACTTACATGTACATTACTGTATAAACCTAATCCCACGGCTTAAAAGCAGAAGCTTATGGTATCAATATACAGTACAACCATGATAACTCAAACTTGAACTGTTTTCCTTTCCCTTTTGAGTTCAAGTTACCGGGGTTCTAGTGTATTTATGCAGAACAAACTGACCCAGCGCGAATGATGCTTGCAAAAAAATTCTTTAAGTACATCCCTAACAATAATGCTTGTGCGTTAAAAGAAAGAGAAGGATTAAGTCCTGTTACGTATACACACCTTTGGTTATAGGATCCTCCTTTTCAGAATCGGTTTCATCTTGATATTCCTCTCCTTTACTGGGAGGGTCAGTAGGATCCTTAGCTGCGGAGCTTTTTTCTATTGTTGGTTTCTCTGTGGGCTGTTTAAGTGAACATAATAAACAAAATATCAAGTAAAATATGTTGACTTCTCTGAAGCTTGTTCAAGTGATATGACCACAAAATGTTAAGTAAAACATGTTGTTTTTCTGTGAGCAGTTCAAGTGAATATAAACACAAAATGTCAGGTGAAATATGTTGGTTTATCTGTAGGTGGTTCAAGTAACATGACCACAAAATGTCAAGCAAAATATGTCAGTTTCTCTGTTGGCTGTTCAAGTGAACACCACCACAAAATGTCAAGAAAATTATGTTGGTTTTTCTGTGGGCAGTTCAAGTGAATATATACACAAAATGTCAAGTGAAATAATGCTGGCTTCTCTGTTGGTTGTTGAAGCATGGCCACAAAATGTCGAGTAAAATCTGTTGGTGCTTCTGTGGACTGTTCAAGTGAACAGGAACACAAAATGTCAAGTAACATATGAACAGTGACATGTTTTCACCAACAAAATTTTCCTATACTTCCAGTATCATAGTTCATACAGTGAACATGGGAATCAAAAAAGAAGGTAACAACAAAGTAAATTAATAACGAGTCACTGCTTAACGTGGTCACAGTCACTTACAGTAGGTTGTCATTTACACGAGACACCAACTGAACTGAGTGGCCTGAGAAAATTCTGGTGTTTTGTAAAGGTGGATGGTTGTAACAGGTGGTTACTCATGGAAGTTTGACTGTACTATTGTCAATAATGTGTAGGGTACAAAGTGTTTTACATATCATGACACACTTCTTCTTGGCCAAAAAATGACCTTGCCTCTTACATTAAAAAAGGCTCGAAATTGTGACGGATATGGTCACCAATGCGACTAATATTTTCTCCTTGGTGACTAAAATTCTGGTTTAGTCACCACTTTGGCCATCACATTTCTTTATAATTTAGATTTAAATTAAAAAAGTAAAGTTAAAACAAACATTTCATCTTATCCTGCTTTGCTGTCATCATAAAAAAATGTGCCAAACCACATAAACAAAGCCAGTTTACCTCTAAATTTATACCGACTTCTGTCCCTGATAATTTCAAACAATCAAATCTGATGGATCGCACCATACTATGAGCTGCATCATTTACATTATACTAACTGGCTAAAAATTTGCATCTGGCGACTATATTTGCCTAGTTGGCCGCCATAAGGCAACCTGAGGGTTTTTTAACCTTGAGCCCTGTTAAACTACATTTTAACTCAGAACTTGGTCACTTACCAGAGCAGGAGGTTTAGGAATCCAGTCAGGCAAGTTGACTTGGAACTGACGAGCAATCTCTGGGAGTTTGTACAGCAAAATCAAGGACTCATTAACAAGGTTATTTATAAGTTTCAAGTGGGTTTGTAGAGCCTCTCGAGCTTCTTCAGCTTTCTCTGGGCGGTGTTTCTGAACATACTCAAAGTAACGCAAGCTGAAAAATAAAAATGTTGGGTTCAAGAAAAGCATCAGTACATGCAAGCCTGCCCAGTTTCATGTTTTCTCTGCTCTTCACTTTTGTAGTGATTTTCTCTGGGTGTGTATGGAGAACAACTCAGACCCACAGGGTGCTGTTTTTTTGCTTACTATACTCGGCAACAATAAATTATTTCAGTAATAAATTGTACCATGTGCTACCCTATGAGAACGGTGTTCTTACCAAACTGCAGCATTGCGGCATTGCCACACTTCTTCAGGAAATGCCGCACTATAATTAGCCCTGAAAGGTCCCAAGAGCGCAAAGGAAAAAAAACATAAAACGTATGTACACATACGTATATTTCCTTATAAAATAAGCCAAAATTTAGTTGGTTATGGTGTCTTTACTCTAGCTCAGAGCTATAAAATGCCTGTACAAATTAAATATTTATTATCTAAGAAAGTACAAGGTATTTACTCTAACTCAGGTTTTTGAGGAAGACTTTGAGTTAACTGCCTCTAAAAATTGTGACCCGCTTTTCTCCCTGATGACGCCCTTTTACAAATGTAGCTTCTTTATGGGTCCTGTAGACCCCACTGTAGAAAATCCTGGTAAGAACACAGTGAGAATACAGTTCTGTTTTTTTTTCTTACACAACAGAAAATTAACAAAGTAATATTTCCCCTTATTGGCTTACTTGTGAAGACGATCTTTTGTGCAGGAGGTCAAATACCGCTTCAGGGCTTCCTTAATCTTGTCACCATCTCTAGGTTCCTCCTCAATAGCAGCTACAAAGTCACGTAGGGCCTGGTTCTTCTTGTCATTGAGGTTTATCTGGGTACATTGATGGTGCTCTTCCTTCAGTCGTAAACGTTCCAGCTTGGCCTGATCATCAAAGGAGTTCAGCATGTTCTTGAAGCTTTCAAGTTCATCTAAAAAAATCCGTTCATGCAGTATCTCATTAGATGCCATATACAGTCAACTCCCTTCATAGCGGACACTGTAGGGACCTTGAGTTAGTGTCCTCATTGGCGAGAGTCCGGAATAGCAGGAGTTTATTTCAGTCAAACTTCTCTAATTCATTTTTGCCGGGGATTTAGCTGCTGTCCATATTTTTGAGTTGTCCATTATGGCAGGGTGTCCGCAAGGCGAAAGTTGACAATATTAGTTTTGCTTCGTGAGCATCAAGAGTCACCACAAAAGAAAGGCAACTAGGACAAATCTAAAGCCTTTGGTATAAACTAATGTCTGATTGTTAGTTGTTCAATATGGGAAATAAACCCATACTATTCACTACAAATGGCACATTTGATGATTTTGTGATTGATTGTTAGAGTGGAAGGGTTAATCAAAAACTTACCAGCTACAGCACCAGTTGCCTGATTCTCATCACCGCTCTTCAACAGCTTGTAGCGCTTTTCAGCCTGCTGCCACTGTTGTAACAAGTCCTGAACTTTCTGTCGATGAGTGTCTTCCATCTGATCACGCTTATCATGGTATTTCTTTGGATCACACCCTAAAAAAAACAACATGTATTATTGACTGACTGATCCACAAGCATATTGTCAAAAATAAAAAAAGATGTTTGAAAAATATGTCATCACATACGAGCTACATTATAACACTTCTACAATTCTGGGAGTAAAATGAATAATTGAACATCTACATACCAATTAAACTTGCTTCAACATGCTTTGCAAATTTGCTAATCTCACTCTTCAAGTGTTCCAGAACGCTTACTGGCTTGGAAGTGCTTGAAACAACAGAAACATCCACAACCTTTACAGCTTCAGTGGCTATTTCTCCACCATCTTCAGGGCAACACACAAATTCCACACCAGTAAAAAGTCCAATTTCACACGGAATGAGGACGCCATAATCACCCAGGGTCATGTTTTCACTTTTGCACTTGTCAGAGGCTTGCTTGCGCCACTCGTCATGTGACTTGCATTGACTGTCGGAGTGCATGTGCTCAAAACGGCACTTTGGAGGCACCAGCAGGGCATCTGATTCAAAACTGCCAGCTACAGACCAAAGATGAAAATTAACATTGCACATTATGATAATTTTTACTTCAATCTTGATCCTAGCTCAATCTCAGCTTGAGACATTTGTGACACAGTTGCCATTTTCAGCATGGCAAATTTTCAGTATCTTTGCCTAGAAGAAGGGAAGCAAAGCATCTAACTTTGAATCCAATGTAAGTTCCATCTTAATTGTTATCTGTACATGCTAACATGTTTAGAAGAAAGATGGAACTTACATTGGTTTCAAAGTTAGGTTCTTTGCTCCCCTTCTTCTAGGCTAAGATACTGAAAATGGCAACTGTGTCAAGAAAACAAATCTAGAACAACTAAACATGTAACGCAAAAATAAAAAGCTTTAAGCAGGACAGCTAATTTAATGATGTTTGACTTCCTTACTCACCAAGGCACCGGTAAGGTGTGACCAAACTGTTATCCACTTTAACACGATTGTTGGCCTCAACAATGTTTCTGATGTCTCTAGAGGGGTACACAGCCTGGCAGTACCTAAATCAAAAGGAATAAGGTAAGAAAACAAAAACAAACAAAAGCAAATCGCCTGGAATAGCCTCAAATGACTTCTGATAAAGCGCTAGTTTCTCCAACTAATTTTTTATTTGTATTGTGTTTGCTTGTGATTCAATATACGTGTGTTTTTGTACAGTTGGCCAGACAAATCACAGCAGTTTTAAATACAATGTGTACATTCATAAGAAAAACAAATCAGCAAGATTGATAAGTATAAGTTCCTTTTAGCTCTGCCAATCAGAAACACTAAAAGCATTAAAGAACTTGCTAGAAAACAAAAAAACGCAAAACATACTTGAATTATTTACTTTCATGGTAATAAAATCTTTGATATCAATGAGTGTAACATCAATAATAATATTTTTTACCCTCACTTTATTTTTCACAGAGAATAAATTTTTTAATTTTTTTTTCTGTACAAGGAGCCCTGTGCTGCTGACAACGTTGTTGATAGCCACTACAGTATTGTGTAAACCCATGATTTCAGGGTGGTCAGCATCTTAAGTTTTGAACAAAAACCATTATAACCATGTCCTAAAATATTTTAAATTGCCTTATTTTCTTCTTACTTTAAGATTTCGTTCCTATCTGTAGTACAAAGTCTGGATGAGTTCTTGTCTACAATCCAGTCCCCAGTGTTGACGTCAACATGTCTCGTAACTTTATCGCACAAGATGACTACTTGAGGGTCATAGTCCAAGTCCTCATTCAGATTCCCCACAGCGGCATTGATAACCTGAAATATATCCAAACAATATGAAGTCAACAGTCTGATATTAGTGCCATGTTGAACTGCTGAAACTCATGCTAGTAATTGCTTGTAAAAAAAATCCAACAGATGTTTTTTAATTGTGTTACATATGATTTGTACGCAGAACTAACAAAGGAGCCTAATGCTCTGAACTGGTAAAATCCAAGCTGCCACAAAAGTAAGATTTTCTACTCACTGAGAACAAAACTAAGATGCTAGGGGCCACTGGGTACTGATAGAGTACAACCCAAACTATTTCCTCTCCTCAGAAAACAAAACTATACAAAATAGGAATTAATACATGGTGTACATCGTGTCTGGTGGGGAAATGATTGAAATGTTATTGCAAATCCAAAAACCAAAGAGCATTAAGAACATGTTTAGGCATACATTGACAAGGTTAACAAGGAGACTTTTTAAATTTCCAGTACAATAAAAACAAATGGAACTCAAATTATCAATAATGGATAGAAAGCAGTACAAAAATTAACACTAGGGGACATACAAAACATCACACTGTTGATTTAAGAGTAAACAAAAAATGTTACATCATAGTCTATACTTCGATGCACTGGCATAAGATATTCACCTCAACAGTATAACTATAAAAAGTTGATTTTTAGCTGATGACCACAATGATAAAGAGAGTTAAAGCGAGTTTAAGAGTTAAATATCTGTAATGCAAACCACAATAATTTTAGAATAACTTCAAAAGAGAGAATGAATCTTTAATTTCAAATAGAAACCACAGAGCAGCTGAAGTAATCTGTTACACACTAGCCAATCCTTGGTGAACCAAGAGATGATTAGGTTCAGTAAAATGCTTCAAGCTGACTGACAAAATAAAATAATGGAAATTATTTTTGGCTGCCAAACCAATATTGAAGCACCTTCAGCAAAATAATTATGAAAACAATAATACTAACACTTACAAAGGAAGCACGAAATCACACAGCACAATGACCTTTTTTGTTTAACAGTACTATAGTGTCTCTGGATGAACACAATAAATCTGAATGGACTGAAGTGCTGTTTGACATACAATATAGTATATGTAATAGCCTTTTACAAGTAGCTCACAATGCTGTAGCATTAGTGCAAAGCAAAAGAAATAATTATTATCTTCAGATAGGTACAAGTAAATGCCACCCTAAGATTAATTTTATCAAAACCACAAGGCATTTATCTAACTTAAATGATAGAATTCAAAGCAATTTTAGAATATCCCGCCTCTTTAGAAACACACCATAAAACATTGTGTAATCAATGAGAAGGAAATAAGTGCTGGGGAAAATGTATTCTACAGTTTGGGAAGTATCCACTTTTGCAAAAGAATAAAAATATTCAACCATCACTTGATTGTTCGAGGTACAATGTAACCAAACCGAAATTTAGATTTTAAGTATTTGATTTTTTTGGTTGGTTAAGACTGGGTTCTTCAAACACATCGTGGAGATTAAGTATGCTCATCTGCTTTAACAGGTTGCCATACAAACATCCAAATACATGCAAGTATTCTCATTTAGGGCAGCCTCCTCTAGCTTCATTATTGAAGACTGTTTTAGCATGGGTTTAGTGTCATTAAAGTGTTGCTTTATATGCAATCTTGCAAATTTTCTCACACAGGAAATTCCAAGCAAGTTACTTTGGTGATGCATAAGACAGAAACAATGTAAGATTTCTGCACTTGACAATGCATGGATTATCAAATTCAGGCTCTTATTAATTTCATATTCACAGTATGTTTGTTCATTACAAATGGTATGAAAACCATGCATGCAAAGTGACATTAAGTGGTGTATGGCAAGACTTAACCATTGTACAGTAGAACCCTGGTAAAATAAACTCTGAAGGGAAACAAAAACAGTTTGAGTTACTGGGAATTCAAGTTATTGAAGTAAATTTAAGTGAGAGCTAGATTAAGGGAAAGGAATTTTAGTTTGAGATGGTGAGGAATTAGAGTTACCCGAGCTTCTACTGTATTAACAGAACAAAAAAGAAATCTTATAAACAGAAATAGGCAAGGAAATACTCTTGCCTTTTGCAACAACAGCCAATAAGCACTACATGTATATTAAAGCATATTTTCAATAATTACTCAAATGAAAATATTAATGCATGATGTTCGCTGTACCTTCTCAAACTGGATTCGCGTGAAAATGTTTACTTTTTCAAATATTAAGTGTTGTTAGCACTTAGAATGGCCTCTATATTAATTGTTTTGGTAAGTTTTTCTTTTTCACTAGAGTTCAGGACTTAAAGTTATTCTCTACACTGTAACGTATAAAAGTTATATTGTTGAGTGAATTCCTGTTGATTACAAAAAGCCGGATTCCTACGTGACACAACTCCAAATCAAGAATTGTGTAAATTGATACACGAATACAGTCGCCTGGTAAACAAAGCCCTTTCCCTCTAAAAAAGCGAGTACTTTATAAGAAGTATTCTTTCAGCGAATGGGGCTTAGAGGCGTAAATAAGTTTTAGAAAAAGCCAACTTCGACCGCTAGACTGGACGACTACCAAAAACAAACACGGTGTAGTTAAACTCAACAACCTGAATCGAACTTATTAAAGCACGATTCTTGTACGAAAATATTCCTCAATAACAAGAGCTATCCAAATCTAGTTTCCAGGTTTTATGTACACGCTTTGTAAGTCATGTGAAGTGCCTTTTAAGGAACAAAACACATAAAAAAAAGGGTTAACTACACCAAATGCCAGAACCACACCGCAACATCGAAAACGAGATGCGAGGACATTTCCTGACAATAGAGGCTCTACATCTCGCTTTTACAAACTCCACATTCGCGGTCTATTGTACAAATAGCAATTTGGACTTTTCTGCAAAATAATTTGAACAAATTTAGTCTGTTTACGTTGCGAAAAACCTGCACAAAACCTACACTTTTGTCGATAATTAATCAAGCTAACTCTCATAGACCGCCCGAAACCACCGTGCGATACATGGTGTACTAAATGCGGTGTTAGCGTAAAAGAAATATAAAATACTCACCGTTGCGACGATCAAACACACTAAAAACGATCTCAGAAAGAACGGATTCATTCCTGAGAAGTAATATACACCAGAATTCTCGTTAAAACTCGCAAACAAAAACTTCAAAATGGCTGATGTTTCACGAAAGCAGACTACTGAGCAAAGGACGAGATTAACGAGTCACGTGATATGGAAATCGAGCGATATTTGCATGACAATTATTTTGTCGAATGTGATTGGTTGCTGTGATAAGATTGTTGCGTTATTGGCGCGTTTCGGCAGATTCTTTGTGTTTGTCAAAGAAACCGCCAAGAATATTCCCTGTTTATGCATTCATATATTCAGAATTCAGTGTTTCTCATTTTTGGCAATGTCGTCACCTCCAACGAATTGCACCATCCCAAGAAAACTTTCAGGAACTTTCTGACACTTCCTCCGCGTGGTATACTTGAGAAGCCATTGAACTTATTTCGTCAGGAGCTCCTGATTTCGACTACTCACATATTATTTTGTGTTTTCTTTCAGTCATTTTTTGGGGGAAAAAACAGAAATGAAATGCTGATAATGAGTTTAAAAAACAAGGAAATTGGAACCTCGTGTAAAAAACATTTAAAGACAACAATATTCTCCGCTGTGATGCTGTGAGCTGATCCATTCATTTTTCCGTTCATTTTTCTCGATTCAGGCTTAGTAGTTTTCCCTTGTTTATGATGTTGGAAAGTTATTCTAACTTTCTAGCCTGAATTTCACCAGTGAGTGCCCAGTAGATACACGTATATTTTTATTAAGCTTCTGAAAACGAAGAGGGCGGGAGAACAAGTGTGGACAGTGCATTTCAAAGCGGAAGGCCTTTTTTTTATTGGTTCGGGGCACAGTAGTCATGGTAGTTAGGAATAAATATTAATTCACAGGAAAAATCTTCACCAACATTAAGTTTCCTCTCGGATCCCATAAGCTCCTCCATAAGTTTGAGCTTAAAAATGAAAATTCACAATTAAAAAAGTGCTTTAACCCCTGTCACGAGATGTACGACTAATCTAGGCGGCAGGGGTAGCAAATCAGAAAAACGGTAACACAAATCCGTTGCATAAAACTGACCTTTGCCCCCTCTTCATTCAACTCGTTCTCAGAGGCGGCGGGCGTTTTGAACTGGAGGAGCTCATCTTCCACTCAGCCATGGGCATACCGCTACTCAAATTTTCCAAAATACCCTTGGCGTTTTTAGTTGGCACAACGTTTTTCCATCTGTGTCAATAATCGATTTGTGACAATGCATCTTTAGGCAGCTGTTCAAGCTTATTCAGGCGGTCCTGATTCATGGTGCTTTTTAGGTAGTTTTTGAGTCGTCTGAGGGTAGAACTGTGCGTGTGCGCTCGCCGATGTCAACAATCGTAAAGGTGTTTTCGGTACCAAACGCGAATTTTTGCAACCGCCCTCCCCCCCTCCCGCTCCGCTGCCTATGCTTGGGCCAAATCAGGCTGATAAGACAATATTTTGTGAACTTCTGGCTTAGTACGGTTAGCACCATTTTTGCATGATACACGTTTCAGGAGCCGAATACGGTGTACGTTTATATGAGAATTAACTATGAGCCGTTCATAATTTATATAGAGGGGGGCTTAAGCAATTTTTTGGGGAGCCATGAGTTTTTCTGTTAGTTTTTAGGGCGCTATCGAAAATTTCTGCCAATGAAGGTATTAGGGGGGAGAGGGCATCCCGAAAATGGTATCTTTCTGAAAAAGTTCTCTGTGCCACGCGAGCGTGTTTCTCTCTCCTCCACACAGGATTCTCTTAAAGTAATTTCAGGTTTCAGTGTAGCTCTAATTATAGGGAAGGCTAATTTTTGTTAGCCGATTCGATGGCCCCAAATAAAATGGCTCTATGCCATATTACTAGCCTTACATTCAGTTTTGTTTTTGTAATTTCCAATGCAAGTCTTACGTGGCCTGCCTTAAAACAGCGAAAAAAATATCACCTGTTCTGCAAGGTAAGGTTGACTGATATCCGATGACCGGCATTTTAATATTGTTACGAGCCTAGCCCCCGGGAATGGGGGTACTGCCGCATTTTCAATGGAGTTACTAGAATGGGGTCGCACATATTCGGATTTTTGGGGGTAAGCCTGTTCTTCATATTTACGGTTAGCAAACGTGGAATGTTTGTACTGCAGACGGAAAGTAAAGTGGTCTTCATTAATTCAATCTAAAAAATGGGTCAATTCATAAAAATAGAAAGCAGCTCCTGTAGAAAGTGACTACTACTGTTTCTGAACACTTTCTCTCTCACTCTAACCATTCTCATACTGACATGTAGTTAATCCCACTAGAGAAAATTCATTCTTCACGTGACTCAGTTCGTAAGGCCAGAGAGTCGCATGGCTATGACAGGAGCATCGGTTCCTGGCTATGACCCTTGAACCTCATGGCCAAAAACCGCCGTGACGAATTATTGTAATCCATCTCTTCAGTTAGTAGTTTTCCTTTTCAGTTTTTGTGTTGTACGTCATTTCCGCCTCTCCCTTTTAAATAATTTTTATTGCGACATTCTCCATTTATATAATATTGTGATTGCTGCATAAGTTCAGTAACATCTGTAACCTGAAGAAGGCTGGTATGGCCAGCCGAAATATTGTTATAAAAAACAATACACGTTGTCTTAAATCAGCTTTGCAGTAGTCTTTGGACTTCTCCTTCTCATTTCTAAGTTAGGATGGCGAAAATTACATATTTGCCTAAAAGTGACTAAGATGGTCACAATAGGCCACAAAATAGACTATAATGGGGTAGGGGCTCTGAGAGGCCAGTGGCACATACCCTGCAAAAATTAACCCAAGCACCCCCCCCCTGCCCGGGCCTACCCCAGGCGTTCACAAAGCCGTGAGAAAGCAAGAACGCACAACGAACGAACGATTCCCGCCATCGATATGTTGGCCAATCACGTGTAATCCGAATGCGTGACTTGTCCAGATCCGATAGATCAGCTGGCCGGCTTCGCTTGAAGAGGTGAAGAGTATTGGACCTTTCTAGCTTCTTTGCATTGCGCCTGTTTTTCAGTTACTCGAAACAATGGCAACAAGCAGACGCTTCTACGTCGGTAGGTTGACGCAATTTTGATTTATCTGAGTATTTTTTCTTTAAATACCTTGAAACGACTTCGTCGAATCGAGCTTTTTCGCTGATGAAGACTCAAAATTCGTCACCTCTTTTTAGCTTAAATTTCTGCCCAAAATTGCTGTTTGAATTGTTTTCCCATACTTTCCCGTTGTTTTGCACTTTATTCTTTATCTGTTTTTGCTGCGTTTTCCTCGGCTTTGCTTTCAAAATGCTTTCATTTTGCCATGGCCACATTTCGAAATCGAAGGGTGAGAAACATTTTGTTGACGCGCGCACTCATTCACTGAAAATAGGCTTTCTTTACTCCTGAAAAGTCGTCGCGTTTTTAAATGGGTGGTGTGGAAGGTTGGATTTAAGTAAAAGTGAGGGTAGATAAACAGAAATATAAAGATGAATCAGCAAGCTTCTTAGATCGTATTCGCGACGTGGTCATGTCGTCCACGTGTTGGCGCGGGGCCATTCATCCGAAATGTCTGGACAGAATTTTTGAACATTCTGCAGTTCTTGTGGGGAATGGAATACGTTTCCGAGGCGGCAAGGGTATTTTGCAGAACGCCGTTTAGTGATTAGGGTTAGAAAACTAAGTTCAGTTCGCCCTGCAGTGTAGTATGGCTCCTTGAGCACTGCATTCCAACCCTAATGGTATCATTGAACAGGCCCGGTTTTGGATATGAGGTATTTTGGTGTCACAATACAGGTAGAAAGTATCTTGTTTTCCTAGATTTTTGGTATTTAGACACAAGTTTTTGTACACTTTTATAAAGTGTATATGATCGAAATATGCTCAGAACTTCACCATGAGCTGGCAAAGGAGGGAATGGAAAAAACTTGCGACTGGCTGCAGTGCACCAAAATGTCTACACTATATCTGGGTGTTGTTATCTCTCAGTACCTGACAAATAGTTTTTAGGTATACAGTGTTCTGTTTCAAGGCAATTTCAGGTATTCAGTGTAAAAGATTTTACAATTTTTAGGTATATTGGTATCTTATCTTGGTATATATCTTGGGTTTATTTTTTTTCTACTACCTCCTTTGGCCAAGCCTGTTTGTAGGTACAAAAACACCCTTATTCATTCTAGGCAGATATGTGCCAGTGAACAGGGTATGGTTTCCAGGGTCTTGAGTCAATCTTAAACAAAGTACGTGTTCAGCTATTTCGAGAAAGGTTGTCCGAAAAATGTGCACACGACAATCCCGAAAGGTAATAGGGGATATGATTAATACACTGTTTCTGATGACTGTACCTGTCAAACCTACTTTTGTTGCTTTCCTTTAGCACTCGCAAACACATTTCCACAGTCTTTCTTACCAATTCTTTCAAATTTCTTTAAAGAACAGGGAACTTAAAACCACCCACAATGCCTTTTGGGATTGTCGCGTGCACTTTTTCCGACAACCTTTCTCGAAATAGCTGTATGTAGTACCATTTCACTATTTCAGGGTGTGGTTTTGGACCAGAAGCCTTTCAACGAGTGTGAAGGCTGCAGATGAGCCGTGTTCATTTGTGGCGTGAACAATTTTTCCAAAAAATTTACTTCTGTGATATAAGTTTAAAAAATATCCTAGTACATTTGTATTCTGTATGCAAAATGAAATGAATCAGGATCATGAAATAAGAAAGGTCTCTTGTCTTATTAAACAGGGTAGCAAAATGAGCAATGTTTGTCCTAAACAGGGTCTGAAGGTTTTGAAGGCTTTGGTGGGACACCTCTACTCAAATTTCCCTCGAGTACCTTCCCCTCCCTAGCACTGCACCTACCAATGCTTATCTTATGTATTTTATTTTTTTGGTGAGGGCTGGGGGTTAGGCAGCGAACAAGTTGTTTAATGGGCAGTGCAAATAAGGGGCAAATTCTAAGCTCTTTCTTAAAAACACCAGTAAATTTGTTTTAATGACATTCAGGAAATTGTTTGAAGTAGCTGTATTCTCATTTGATGTGTTATTTATTTGTACGATCTATGCAGGAAATCTTCCCCCGAAGACTTCCAAAGAAGACTTGGCCCATCACTTTGGTCTTGACACTACACCATATCTCCGCTCATCATCGTGGATTGAATTAGCAGTTGAACCACAAGGCTTTGCATTTATCAACGTTCCTGAACATCTTTCCAGTAAGTTTCATCTATTCTTTTGAAGCACATACATTAATATTAAACATGATAATAATTATTACCACTCACCAGTTAAATGTGAGAAGACAATTCCAGTTATTGTGTAGTGTAGCTGGTAATTTTGTGCATGCATCCTTCTAGGAGTTCTGGTCCAGTACAGGTAGCTCTTCAAAGACTGTCATTCATTTGATTATTGTTCCATATGATTGTATTCACCTTATAATTTTCTTTATGATAATTGGCCCTTGTTGCCTTCCTTCAAGGAAAAAACTCTTTTAAATTCTGCAAGTGCAATCATTAAGTTATTTAGGGATAACAAGCATAAATGTATACGAAAAGGTGACTACTGCACAGGTTCAAAATATCAGTGACTGTCACTGTTTACAACAGTCCTTATTCAGGACTACATGTATACTCATCTAGACAATAGTATTCTTCCTACTTATGAAAAGTAATGTAGTCTTTTGTCTCCATTTTGGAATTATGTGTACATGTATATTCATTTATTGTTTCTTTTCTAGATCACTTACTTCAACTAAATGGAACTAAGCTTCATGACAAATTCATCAAAGTTCAACCAGCAAGGAACTCTAGAGCTAGCTACAGTGGAAGAGTGTCCATTCCATCTATGATACCACCCTCCTATCTTATACCTCAGCTTGCTAGTTACAGCTACGACACAAGCAACTATTATTTCCCAAAGAATTCAAAAAACAGGCGCCGCCCTCAGGGTCCCAACGATGTTGTGAACATTCCCGAGGACAGGGTTTTGCAGCTTATTGATGTGGGTGTAAATCTGCCAAACAAAGTGTAAGTTGTTTTATGCAAATGTTTCAGTTGCGTTATATTAAGGATGTCATTTGATGGTATTAATTAAACTCTGGTTATCGAACTCAAGCAGAACTGACAGCAATAGAATGACTGGACAACCAACAATTTGACTAACAACAAAATTTAACAACTTTTTCATGTTTTGTGTCAAAAGAGGGAGCAAATGTAGCAATCAGAAAGCCAATAACTTCATAATTTAATTGATTATTTAGGTCAATAACCAGACTTAAATACCATCAACACTTACTGATGTGGAACAATAGCTTACTTTGACTCAGGACAACTACTGCGGAGGTTGTCAAAATGTCAATCACTGTCAAAATATTCCACCCACTTATAAAAACAATTTGTGCTCTGCAGTTTTTGATCTTGTGGTTCATGGTTACAATATCCAGCACTGATGAATTTTCCTGAAGTAACGATTTGTGGTTTTCTAGTCAGACAGACATATACAGTGTAACCCTGCCTTACGGCCACCTAAGTAATACAGTCACCTCATTATTACGGCCACTTTTTTTTGGCCGCCTGTCAAAATGGCCTCAGTAATACGTTTTCTTGTAAAAAAAAAAACCTTTGTTAACACGGTCACCCATTAATACAGCCAATTTTTTTCACTTATTGGTGACCCTATTAACGGGGTGCCACTGTTTCAGTAATAGTATTTTTTTTTTGTCATGTATAGGGACAGAAAATAGTGCCCAAAGGATTATGTGGGTCTTGGAAAAGTTTGATCTGATATTTTGAACTATTAAAAAAAGAAGGATTTGTAATGAAAACTCTCTTTACGTTTTCCCATAAACGTGTGATATTTTTTTATGACGTTTCCAAAATTCCATAGGACAGTTTTTGTGTGATATTTGCTTGTTATATATGTTTCCATTTGGCTGTTTTCAAGTCTTTGCTACAGTGTGCAAAGAAAGTAGTGTCCGATATCTTGGGGCTAGTGGATTTTGCTATCGGGCTAGTGAATTCTGTTTTTAACTTGCCCGACGGGCAAGTGATGTTTTTTAAGGAATTTGAATAACAGAAGAACTGTGAAACCACTTCTGTTACTCAAAACGTTTTGGGGCTAGTTGAAATGACGTCTGGGCAAGTAAATGACAGCTTCAGCTTTCGGAATGGCTTGCAAGCTGTAAAAATGATTCTCTTTGTACCCTGTTGCTATGTAATAATTTACTAGCATTTTTAACGCTGTTTAAGCATTCATACTAAGATGTTATTTTGCTTCTTCTTCTTGTTACATTTCTTAGCTTTGCAAGAGACATTCGAAATGTGATAGAGCAAGCAGGAGTTGTTGGAATCAAGCAAATGATTCTGACAGGGAACACCCTACAGATGAGCCAGTCAGCTGTCCTTCAAGCCAAGGCATATCCTAGAGTGTTGTTTGCTTCAGTAGGGGTACATCCACATTTTACAGAGAAGGAATGGAACAGTAAAACTGCAAAAGAGATTGAAGAATTAGCTAAGGATCCCGTAGTTGTGGCCATTGGTGAAGTTGGGTTGGATTTTCACAAGAATTATTCATCAGAGAAGGTCCAGATTGAAGCATTCACAAAACAGGTCTTGTCTTAAATCAATCAGTTAGTCGATATTGCATGTAATCAATCAATCCAGCAATTAGTCACTCAGCCAATAAATTAATTGTTATATAGGTGGAAATTTCTTCCCAACAGTGTGCACTCTCATTGGTTGCTTCAAGGACACATGACATCTAACAATGACACTGTTTCCTGCCAAAATCTCTGAGCAGGCAACATTGCATAAAATCTATGATGTCAGAGGGTAACAATGCACTGTAACCCGCAAATGTTGACTGACTAAATTGCCCTTGCAGTGTGGTTTAATGAATATTTTCCAGCGGCAAAATTTCCAAAGATTGGTCACTCAGGAAACAGTAAATTTTGTTTGCCAAGAATCTCAACCAAGGTGAAGCCAAGGGAAACACTGAGATTTGAGGGAAACAAACTTAACTGTTTCCTGGGGGAACTAAGTGTTTATTACATACCAAGCAAGGAAGGAAGCAATCAGTTAGTCAATCAATCAATCAGTGGTCAATCAATTTGTTCATTTATAATCACATTTTTTTAATACATTAGTTTGTCTGTTTTCATCTAATTCTTTTAAAAATGTTTGGGGATCAGTGTGGAGAATTTGTGTGTAGATGATGCCCAGAGGACCCTTGCTAGTGTCCACATGATAGAGATGTCTGCTATATACAGGCTCATTTGCAAGATCAAGCCAACCTCTGCCCGGCTAGCTAAATTGGATAAGCGCCAGTCTGCTGAGCAGGGGGTTGTGAGTTCAAACCTTGGCTAGACCAACACTCAGGGACTTAAAATACCTGAGGAGAATGTACCACCTTTGTTGTGGCATCTACAAATGGTTAGCCATTCCAGTCTTCTCAGATAAGGACGAAAAACTGTAGGCCCTGTCTGGCAGCTCTTTCACTGTTCTGATTCTTGTGGGACTTGAAAGAACCCACACTGCTGATCGTAAAGAGTAGAGGGCATAGACCCCGGTGGTGTGGTACAGCCTTTCATAGGCTGGGTGGGTAATGAAGGGGATGGTGTCAGGATGCATGTACTGTTTCATCCCCTGTCACCGTGTTGAGTCACTGTGGCGAATTCAATACGAAATGCAGCGTATTGACTCCTGTGTTCTCGTAACCTACAGTCTGCATAACACAGCCCTCGTGTCTCTAATTTACATTGTAACATTGAATGGCCTGCATTTTTTTCTTGTCAGGTTGCCATTGCCTGTGAAGTTCAGAAACCACTTTTGGCACATGAGCGAGGTTCCCATCAGAAGTTCATTGAAGTTTTGAGCCAGTTTAGTGGCAGATTACCTTCTATTGTGATCCACTGCTTTACTGGCAGTGTTTCTGAAATGAGTGCTTATGTTTCAATGGGATTCTATATTGGAATCTGTGGTTTTATTTGCAAAGGTGAGTGTTCAGTATTCTTAGAATTGTAGTTGAGATCAGAAGTTTAATGAAATGTTGAGACCTTTCACTTCATTAACTCGTTCAGTCAAGGAAAATCTTTGATACTGTCAAAGTCAGTGAAAAGCCAGGGAATTATATTTTTGATTCACAGTTCATAGTGTTCTTTGAAGGCTGTGAAATGCATTTTTTTTTCTGAAAAGGACAATAAGTACGCTGCAATTAAAGCGAATAATTTCTGATACTCTTTGCCTGACACGTGCAGGTGTATCGGTTGGGGCTAGTGGTTTTCGTTGTGAATTATGTCTTCTTCCAAATAAGAAACAGAAATTGGAGGAGGCTTGGGTTTTGTTCCCGCCATTTACAGCAATGCTCGTTATGTTTGACTATAAAAAAAGTACCAAATTTAGGCCCTGGTCACTGTCTGGATACTAAGGGTTTTGCTTGCATCTCTTTCTCATGTCTGCACTTTCTAATCAAATTTGTTTTGCTGTCTTCAGAGGTCCCAGGCAAAGCTTTACGCGATGCTCTCAAAGAAGGAGTGCTTCCACTCGACAGAATTCTGCTTGAAAGCAATGCTCCTTACATGACGCCAAACGCCTCTGATAAAGAGCTGGATGATGTTTGTAAGTCTCTTCTCAAAAGATGCAAGCGAGGACGAAACGAGCCCTGCACTTTACCCATCGTTGCGCACATCGTGGCAAAATGCCTTGGAGTTGATGCAGAGGAGGTAGCCAGGGCCTCAGCTGAAAACACGAGGCGAGTTTTTGACTTAATGGCGTCGCAATCAGCGAGCCAAGATAACAAGGATCTGAATAAGTAATGCGTAGCGCAAGATAAAAATGATTAATATATGAACTTGTCGACAAAATGGAAGAACATTTTTGAATTGATTTAGAATCACGTTAACGACAAACGGCAAAGGTAAGAGTCAAGTTGAAAATTTCTCCAATTTGGAAAGGAGCGGACAAAAAAAAAACGCAACATAATTCATTGATAATTGCTTAGCCTAAATGAAGAGGACCGTATTTACTCAAATAAGTGCCGCGGCCCCGATATAATCAATTTCTGTTAGCTTCTTACGGAAAATGACAATACTGTAGTTAAAATAATTCTTTGTCACATGCAACTTTCAAATAAACACCGTCCTCAAATATGCACCACTCTCGATTAGGCGCAGCATGTGAGGCGTGAAAGATGAAATAAACGCCACGGCGCTTATTTGGGAAAATAACATAAACAGTAAGTAAAGGGAAGACTATATCACCTGAAATAAGTTGAAGTTTGCCTTTTGCCTTAAACGTGGTTCTAAAATTCTCTATCAACGCTTCCACCGTATGAAAAGAATACAACAGAGTGCAAATTGTTCGCATATCCAATTTTGCAGCACGAAGTTGTTTGTTTGGTTTCTGTTGAAATGGGTTGATTTCATTTCTTGGTAATGAAGATGTAAATGCTTTAACGGAACCCTCTATTTTGGTGAATATTTATCTTAGCAAACGGCGTATCTAAAGCAAAAACAAGTAATGAACTTCTTCTCAACTATAGGTTTTTCTTACTAGCGCTGTGGTGTTAAAAGTAAAATTAGAGGGTCGACATTAAAAATTTAGTACCTGTTCACATGAAGTTGGGGGTGGGGGGGGAGAGCTCAGGAAGGTGAGAGGTGAGGTAACACGCTTAGGTAGGTTACCCGCCCGTCCATATGATCTCTCGTTTTAATTTGATCACGTTTATATGGTAGGTGGGCCGGGTGACCATATGAGAGATACTATAGACTGGCATGTGACCCCAGCTATTAAGCGGGTACCTCACCTGGGATCCTCCACCCCAATGTAAACAGGCCTTAAGATAATTCAGTTTTGCGTTAACCGTAATTAATTGTGTTACTAGTGTACTTAACAAGATATTTAGAAACGATTTACAAACGATGTGGGTGATATGCGTTTTCTAGAGCAGAACAAGAGGAGTGCGGACTGGAGTTAAAGAGTGCAAAAATTGAGTTGCTAAAAATTTGAATTTAAAGCAAATTATTCACCTGTTGTGTTTCTGTTTCTGATGAATGGAGTTCAGCGCCAGATGTCTTAGTCATGACGCATTGTCACAAATTATTGCCATGAATGTTTATTTTTGGAAAATGTTTTATTTAAAGCAATGCCCACACTTGTTTTCCTAAGTGCATATTATTGTTGCTGCGGCTTTATAAGTACACTATGGAAGGTGGACAATAAAAATCACAGCATTCAGTTTTGCATTATAAAGAGTATTATTTTCCGACACCCAACCCCCAACGATGCTGTCGGTGCCCCTCGGCTGGTACGTTATCCAGAAAAAAACAGCCAACTTTTGCGTCCTGACCACTGGTTTCGCCAATGTTGACGTGAACATTGCAGTCATCAAACTATTTCTAAATAGGTGTGCTTCAAAATTGGGCGAGGAGAGAAGCAAATTACACCCTGCCAGTAGGGCCTTTCCATTAATTGAACTCGAGAACTGCATGAATTGAGTAAGACCTTTGTTGAGCAATGTGTGGCATGTTGCTAGAATATCATTCCCGTCCCCAGAGCCCGTCGATTCTTGGTCACGTGGTCTTCGTTACAAATTAAGCCGAGTGGCTCTGAGGACGGGAATACCACCCGGGCCTAATAGCTGTGCGCTTTCTACAGCGGGCTCGGTTATGACCATCGGTTTATCAATAAACAGGTGTGAGCACTCGAAACCCCAGTTTTACGAGAAAATACTAGAATGACTAGTCTAGGCTGCGGGCCCTCCTCCTCGATCAAAAATACAAAAGAAAGCAGGGTGACCAAATTAAGAGTGTAACGTGAAATTCTAGAGATTTCTTGGCCTGGTGCCTGTACGGTGTCTTTCCAAGCCGTCTTGGTTAATGTATTTCGGTGACGTATCCAAAAAGAAAACTCGGTCGGACCACATGACCGGAAATGCATAGGCCGCGCGGAATAATGGGGCCTATGATGTAGGCAAGAAATTTCTGTTTTAACACATGGCTTATATACTGTACGACCTTGGCGCTCAAAAGGCTGGAAATGGAGTCTACGTTTAAACTAACTAGAAGACGAGGGTTGTTCAGTAAAAGTATGAAGGCTTCACGAATGGACTACAAATAGAATTTTTATTTTATTTCGATGCCCTAACATGAAAGTACGCTTGGACAGTCCAAGAGCTGTTACATGATAAAGAGACTGAATTTCATAATGACGGCCGACCCACCCAGGGTTGGTAAGTGGAGTAAGTGTCTCTCAGTTCTTCGCAATAACTATGTAGGCATGAACATAATCCATCCCGTGGTCCTCTGGACGCTTGGCCACCTCGATTTCGTACCGCTTGAAGAATTCATCAACGATGGTAGCCTTTTCCTCAGGTGATCGAGAATCTGACAGTGCTAAGGAAGATATTGACAGCAACCCGCAAGTTATGTACCGATAATTTTAAATCACATAGAGAATAACACAAGTAATTCACCAAGGCTGTCGCCTAGCCTGCGATCATGTCCTCTCTCTTTATCTCTGTAATCTGTTTTCGGGAAGAGGGGCGCTATTTTTTTCCCTCCCGAGCCAAAGAAGCAAAACATAAATAAATAAATAACGCCTGATCTCAGGTTAGCTGTGGCCAGGCCACTAAAGCAAAGCACTAACTACCAAAAATCATGGAAATCATGAACTCTTACTGTTCACGCAACTCATGGAAAGTGTTTGTATTATAACAGCTTTCCCCTTACGAGTAGCCTGTTCTTGCTTACAATTATAACTTAAAAGAAGTTGCGCATTTAAAAAAAGTAGAACCCAAATTTTTAAATTTTAATTATATTTACAACAATGAAACAAGCTTTTCGAAGCGAAATTTCAAAGAAACCGGCTGATATATATTTGCTAATTTTCTTGCTAACTAATGCATAAAATATACTTTAATATGACTTCAGAACCTCAGTAACAATTCATAAAGAAAAATCAAAGGAAATTAATGCTTAAGGGGTGTCTTTGTATCTGATAAAGAGTTAACAATTTTTGTCTGATAGAGCAACTTTTCTCTTACCAGAAGTAAACGTAGCATTACTCCATGTCCTCGTTGTAGGCATAAACCACCGCGCATGCTTTGCTGGGTCACCCCCATTTTGCAACCACTTTTCCCTGTAGGGGCATGGTACCACTTTGGTTTCTATGGAAACCAGTGACAGACCAGCCATGCTTACGGGAGAATCCGATGATTCAAATGGGGCCTTGAACTCTTCTACAGTCCGATAGTAATTGACAAACGTAGTCCGGTGAAACTCTTCCTGCAAAAAGAGAGAAATTTTCTTGTCAACAAGGTGAATCACTCGCAGTGTTTACCAACCGATGAAGCAAATTGATTGTTTCATTGCTCATTTGAGGTAGAATATGAGCTTTTAAGATAACGTATTTTTCGACAATTACAGAAAAAAAAAAGGTTTTCGACTTGAGAAAGTCTAAATCAGATTTGTAATCAGGCAAAAATTGTCCGCTTATTAGGAACTTAAGCTGTGCGCCGCTAATCATGCAGCATCACTCATAGCAGCCAAGTGCACATGCCCCTCCCCCCTAAAAAATCATCAACAACAACGAGGACCACGACAACAGCGCGAAGGGAAGACTGAACCAAGATCTCAACAAAGTTTATTAATTTTTAATTTCATTTTTGGGTGTTTGACTGGATTTCGGTAGGTAACAATAGTTAAGAAGAGAACATCTGACCTGCGTTATAAGGCCCTCGTCGAGAAGTCCTTTCCACAAGTCTCTCATAGTCCGATGCATGGAAACGGGGACATTTTTCGTTGCTCCAAGATACTGTCCTTCGTCATCTACAGCGAACTGAACAAGGATCATTCTTCCGCCTTAATCAAAAGATAGAAAAGGGAACAACTATTTATCTGAAAATCGCCATTACTGAAAAAAGTCTGTAAACACCGTCAGCTTTGGCACGACGGAATACAGTGGGATCTCTAGAGAACGCCCAAGGGTAGAGATTACTAGAGTTAATTGACGAAAAGAAACGAATTAGGTAACCTACCATGTAAGGCAGTGCAGGTGCATCGCCAGGTTTTTTAAAGGACGGCATGTGTCTAGGCAGTCTAGTTCATTGGGTTGATCAGATTGCCAATAACGAGTTTTTATTAGCTAAGGAACGTGACGTTAGCGAGGTACCGTAAACTTCCAAAAATAAGTCCCAGGGCTTATATTTTTCAAAGGCCCTTTTTGAGGGGCTTATTTTTGGAGGAGCTTATTTTCGGAGAGCCTTATGTACGGAGGGAAATTTGCGTTTCAAAATCGATTGGGCTAGCTTGTAGTGGGAAGGAAATTTACCATTTTTTGCTTTGTTTTAATTTGTATTCGAGGGCAAATTCCAAGTACAAGCCCCCCGGGGGGCTTATATTCGGAGGGGCGATTTAACGAGGGGTTTTTTGGGTTACGAATTTGGGGGACTTGTATTTGGAGGGGTTTATACGTGGAGGAAATTATTTTCGGAATGTTACGGTATTTACTTGTAAGTAGCAAAATCACAGCTTCATATCAAACAAATATCTCTAAAACGCATTATATCAAACATGAAAAATAACCAAAATGGCCTTTGAAAAACTGCTAGGCTTACAAGTTTTTAAGAACCGCAATTGCAGTCCGTTTCTTCTTCTTTGTCCATCTGTGCCTTCTTTTCTATTTGCTGTGTTATTTATACCTTCTTTTAATGTTTTGAGCGGTTATTTTTAAGTTGCACGCAATTTGGTGGAAGCTCTAACTGTCTGAAGTTTGTTAACTTCGTGACAAAGCAACTTTGAAGTGTCATGGTTTTGGAAGCCATCTTGACGAGTTCCCTCACAAAGATGCACTTAAGTGCTAACTTATCGGGATACATTTGAGTAAATTAAGAGAATAGTCAAAGCAAAGTCGCTCAGTGAAGAACCAAAAATAACACTTCTATAGGTATACGAAATGTGTACCATATTCTGTGGATTAAAAGAGTACCTTTTTGTTCAACAGAGGTGTACGAGATGTTAAGCATCTGAACCTGAGGGGGGAGGGGGGAGCTTCTTCTCGTGAAAATTTGTACACTCCCAGGCGGCGTAACGTGCCTCTATCGAACAGAAGTGATTTGACTGCTGGGTCTCCACACGTATGCGGATATTTCTTAAAACAGAGAATTTTTTTTTCGCTTTTCTTCGAAAAATACGCGTCCAAATGTAGCTTACTCGATTCTTTTTTGTCCGTCCACATGAAAGCGCGAAAACGATGGACATACGATAGCACACCTTTCAGGGCATTCGCTGTACGATGTATGACATCATCGCATTCAAAAACCTTCGTTTACGTCCGTCCACACGAAAACGATAAACCGGCGTTTACAAAAACTCCACTCTGGAGACCGTTCGAGAACCCACGTTTTTGGTACCCGAAAACGCCGTTTACGTATGGACGGAAAGTAGAACGGAGGAAAAAAATCTCTGTTTTTAAAAATATCCGGAGACGTGAGCACCCAACCTCGTCCCCAGGGCTTTTCCTTAAAAAATGGGTGGGGCGCCGCCCCACCCATTTTTAAAGGGAAAAGCCCTGGGGACGAGGTTGGTGAGAACAGGGTCTGTATTTTTCTATTTACCCGAAGCCATCTCCTTGGCCCTAGCCAGTAAGAGTGTTTCCCAATCCTTTGCAGCCTGGATTCTAAACCTTTCCGCCTCTTCTGGAACAGTTATCATTGTGTGATGCAACGCTCCTGTGACGTCACAAGGCTTCTCGCGCAACCAGTGCATGGCGGTGGCGGAAAATACTAAATTTATAGACTGAGGGGGCAGACATTGGCTGTAGAAGCTGGTACCACACGTAGTGACAAACACGTTAGAAAAGTCTAGAAAATAGCTTTTTGGACCGGGTATAAGTCCTGCGAAAGAATTGGAAAATATGGCAGTTACAGATTGATCTTAAGCCTCTTATCCCACAAATTGACTAGCGCTCATTCTGATCTTTTGAAACATGACAATATGTCGAATAATTAGTATTTTGATACACGCGCAAATTAGTTTGTCATCATTGGAAACGTTGTGCACTAGGCAAAGAATAACGCAAAAATAGGGAAAAAGTTTAACCTTGCTCAACTTTTACGTCTGCGCGCGGCTTTTCAGACATAACCTCCATTTCATTTACGCACGTAAATTTTACGCGCGTGGGCACGCAAAAATTAAGTGACAGTGGAAATCCACCCTTAGACACTATGTACCACATGCAATGTATGCATGGTGTACGAGTCTCACTTCCTTGCCAGACGTTGAATGTGAACACGACCATTTCTAGCAGTTTCTAGAGAATACCTTGCAATCGAAGAAACAAAGACTTGAAATCATTTACTGGTTGATCTTCATAAACCACGTGAATAGGTAGACTGTCACCATGAATCTCTCTCAGTTCTTTCACGCATGCGTAGAGCAGTGGCATAGAGGTACCTCCATCCGCACAGCCGAAGTCGGCGATGGTGAACACAGAACCAGGAGTTACAGACTCCGACTTGATGCATTGTAACATGAGAGGCGCTGACTCTAAGATCACGTTGTAGCAGCCGATTGTGTTGTCCGAGTAGAATCCAGAGCCATCTACACCGTACGGAATGTGACTGTGAGGCGACTGGAAATAAATTTCATTTTGCTAACATAAGGAGACATTGCAAAGAACCAAACAACAAAAGACCTTTTCACGGTTTTTTTTTTTTAACTTTTGACAAGGTCAAGTTAAGGAAAGTCCGTCAACACCACTCAAAAGAACGCCTTAAGATTAATAAAATTAAAATTGCCTAGTTTGAAAGTGATTTGTTGAAAACTAACCAAGACATAGCTTAGACTGCAAAACAGTCGGTGTTTTTCTCAAAATCAGTAAAGAACTCGGTAAAGCGTGGCGTAAGAGTCTTACACGCGAAGCGCGCGAGCCTCACACGCCCGTAGGTATTTTTAGCGTCTCTCCCCAGTCTCGCTCTCTGTTTTCAGCCTCGTTCCAGACCTTTTGTTTGATTTTGCAGTCTAGATATAGCTCCTCAAAGTCGCTAAATTTTGTACACGTTTGTTTGGTGGGGGACACAAACTTGCCCACATCAAAAAGAATTAAGGCGCTCTTCCCAGTGGTGTTGACGGATTCTCCCTAACTTGTCCATGTCAATAGTTGATAAAACCGTGAAAAGGTCTGTAGTACCAGATGTTTATAAGGTATTTTAAGTTGACTTGTTAAAAGCATTTTGAAATAAAATATTTTGGAAACATTGAAAAAGAAAAAAAAACTTAATGGAAGGGTTTCAGAGCTACCTCAGACGCATATCACCCTATTATCAGCTGTATTATGCTTCTGGCTACCTTAAATGCTGACTAAAAATGGTGCTGTTAATGTTGATATTGTAATATTGTGAATGTTGTAATTTATTCAATGTAATTTGGCATCCTAGACTTGTTAACTCTCTAGTTATTTTAGGAAGCTAACACCCTTTTAGCTTTAATATTTATTTCATGTAAATTTAATTTTTCTTTTTATTATAAGGGGTCAGACAGCGTGCAAAGAAAGTAGTGTCCGATAGCCCGGGGCTAAAGGATTTTGCTATTGGGCTAGTGAATTCTGTTATTAAAGTGAAGTTTTTTGAGGAATTCAAATTACAGAAGAACTGTGTAATCAATCTGCTCATCAAAACGTTTTTGGGGCTAGTTGAAAGCTTCGGCTAGTAAATGTTAGCTTCAGCTTGCCCGAATGGCAAGCTGTAAAAATGACTCTCTTTGCAACCTGTCAATAAAAGTTGTCCTTGTTGCTGATTTGACAATTCTATTGTTCGCATCTTGAGGAAATGGAGTAATGTGTAAACTAAATGTCTTCATTTTAAATAGGTTGGTTTGAAAGATCAATAACTACTCAATACTGGCACTTAGCTTTGACAATTAAGCCTTGCTCGCTAGCATTACACTCAACAATAAACTTATCGTCCATTTCTCCCCGGGGGGGGGGAGGTACTTGGGTTAATTTTTGCTGGGTATGTGCCACTGGCCTCCCAGAGCCGCTACCCCATTATAGTCTATTCTGTGGCCAGTTATAGACCCCATCTTAGTCACTTTGGAGCAAATATGTAATTTTTGCAATCCCAGCTTAGTCACTTTCTATTTTTATGAATTGACCCATTTTTTGGATTGAATGAAGAAAACTTTACTGTTCGTCTACGGTACAAACTTTCTGGTACATTTGCTAACCGTAAATATGAAGAACTGTCTCACCCCAAAGAATCCGAAAATGTGCGACCCCATTCTAGTAACTCTGTTGAAAATGCGATCCCACTATAGTCACTCCAGTCGTGAAAATGCGACCCCATCCAGCGGCACATCCCCAATAGCCTCTTATGAGGAAGTACCCGCCTTGGGCATTTCTCCCACTTTGAACGCACGTTTTATTCAGTAAATAAATTGCGGCCCTGTTCGCACGGTAGCATTAAGCGCGCAGTCTGCACTTACAAACTTGTCACTACTGGAGGACATGTTGTTTCTCTGTTTAAGTAGATTCCTTCGATGGTAGTCTCGAATGGTCCCTGTTCGATTTCGCCGCGCAGGTTAACAGGAGCAGGTCGAACTAAAAACAGGAAAAACCCAGTGATCGTTGGAAATTCTGGTCAAAAGGCCTTGTTTCCTTGTTCCTTCATTTAAGAATCTATTTTTGGCGTCTATTCAAGGAGAAGATTATAGTCATATATAGCCAGGAACTTCATCGAGTTTTGACCATCCGCCATCTTGGATTATAAAGGCTGAGAAAGACTGGGGAAGTGTAACCGAGTCTTCCACGGTCAGACACGCAGGTGAATGAGACAAAGGGCGCAAGCCATTCAACCAAAACCGGTTAGAATTTTCGGCAACTTCCGGAAGCGGATGGAAGAGCATTTTCCAAAATTTTCAAAAACAGGGCAACCTTGCGAGGTATGCCCAAATTTTCGAAAATGTTTTCAAGGAAGTTTTCTTTCGATTCAACTATGCTCCCGGAAAATCTAGAATTTTCGGTTGAATCGTTCGCATTTCGGCCATTCAACAGCTTCCGGAATTTCTGGAAACTTTTCCGGGAAATTTCTGTATCATTTGCCGCCGATTCCAAATTTTCAAAAGCTTTGGTTGAATGGAAAGCGTCCATAAATTACACAACATTTGACAACGGATTTGCAACCAGACGCTTCATAAATTCCAAATTATATATTGAACAGCAAATGTTTAAAAGGAGCTAAGTTTTTTATAATTCAAATTTCGGAGAAAATATACGCTTAGCATTATGCAACATATTAAATATATATATTTCTAGTATTTACTAAAACAGTAGACAGTGGTTTTTGCGCGTTCATTGTCGGTGGTTAGTAGTTAGTATTTACCGAGCCGGGGAGAATGTCCACCACTAACCACCCCCGCTTCAGTGAAAAATTGTCATACGCCAAGCATCACCCTCGCATAAAAGAGGACAAATCTTTTTGAATCGCCTTCGGTCCATCTCTTTGAGCTAAATTACTTATAAATACCCCAATTACACATATTATATGATAAATAAACCCGAGTACCGATGTTGCAAAAGAACAAAAATGATTTTGGAATACCTTCCTTATTTTTCCATCAAAGTCGAACAAGCTCTCACAAGTGATTTAATTCTTTTCCCTTTGTACGATAACGGAAATTTGAAGAATAGTTCTAAAGAAATGCCCTTCATTAATACTTAATGGTAACAGCAGCGTCCAGCTCATTAGTACTCACACTGAGTACTATATAGCGGTTATTATTTTTTGTCGGTCTTTCCAGGCTTTGGCGGGTCTAACTCAGCTTTTTCGTAATTCAAGGATACGATAAATAAATGCGTAATTCTCTATACAGTTCTTCAGCAAAAGCGTCCGCCTACCCACAGAAGGAGAGAACAGGAATTGTGGATGCCAATGAGACGGGAAAAAAAAATTCTTGAAATTCAAAGCAGCAACGTTGGATCGTAATAGACCAATTTCCGGATATATTAACATTCAGACTTGGCGCGCACCGAGGCTCAGGCATATAAGGGGAATAAAACTAAAAATATCACCTTAAGGCTCAGCAATGAATAATAAATTTCTTTTGTTTTATTCTCCCAAACGTCTGAGCCAAGTATGAATTAATTTTCGTATATCGAAATGGGTCTACTCCATATTCAATGAAATATAAATGAGATTAGAAAAAGTTTCATGAATTTGATCATAATAGCTTTGAAAACAGCATTTGAAGTCGTTTCAGCTCCACTGAGTTTAGAGACAAGATGGAATTAAAAGTTCTCTTGTCAGAGAACATAGTTAGGACATGCTGCATTCTCCGTCGAGTTTCTGAAACTTAAAAAAAACAAACAAACAAACAAAACAAAACAAAGCATTTCGTAACATAATAAATAAAAAATATATATTGATAACAAAAATAATAATTAATAAAAGCATTCGTTGGGTGAAGCGACAAATACAAAATAGTCAGTCAAATTTAAGACATTATTTCGGTAAGGTACCTCGCCAGTACCTCTCCTCCCTCATTCTCTTCACCGGAGTAAAACGTAGCTGTGAAACAACCCTGGCTATTTTGTTCTTATAATGAAGAAAAAAATAAAATGCATTAACACCTCTGATGATCTTGTTCAGCCGAAGGATCAATATCCGTAGAGAGCAGAAAATTTGATCATAATGAACCACGTGTTTTATACAGAACGTGATTAAGCGAGAATCGTATTCCCCTCGCCCATGAAGAGCCGAGTGGTCCCATTACTAAAGACAAAAGAAAAACCTCGATATGGTCTAGCCGAAGAAAAAATTCTTTCTCCTTTCATTTCTATCTTATTTAGTTTTCCGGTACCCTACCCCCATCCCCCGTTCCCCCTACCACCTGAAACTCTACTTTATTTCTGTTGCGCCCTTCGCAGCACACAGGAATCACAACAGGGTGGTGTTTGAACTTAATTCAATTTGGCTCGCGTGCGCATTGTGACTGTACGAATATACGTTGTACGTGGTCTACGGTAGCGTTTTGCGGTGTAACGGAGAAAAATTCTTACCTTTCAAAATCGCTATCTTATGGTTAGTTTACCAGGCAGGCCAAAACGGATTGTCTCCGTCTGTTCTTAGTCGATCAGTCGTGCTCTTTGTTCAGTTCTCTTTTAGCGCTTTTAAAAGCATTGACGGCTGATTACAAGTGACCGTGGGCTCCTACTTTTCCGACAGGTTCATTGTGTAATGGGTAAGCAGTAGATACAGTTCTAGTGTAGTACTATATACTACATGAAGTCATGGGTATGCTGTGATCATATAGTTTGTGTAAGCGAATGTGAGCCTGAGTTTCAAATAAAGATACATGAACCAAATATTTCCTCTGCTTTTGTTGAATTTTCCATCCCTCTGCTCGCTGCCTTTCATCTGGGAAACGCGGAGAACTGGGAAAGAATAAGCTGGCTAGAAAACTACTCTATTGCTATGGTAACGTAACAACTTAACATACTGTTTTCCCTTGACGTAGTAGAAGCCCAGATACCACATTTCGAATTAGCAGCGTCCACGTCTTCTGTCTTTGTAAGACTCACAGTTACAGTAAGTTAAGGCTCGAATTAGGGCCCCTCTTCAAATAAGCACACCCCCTCGAATTTGCCCCCCCCCCCCTGGTCCTCCATTTTAAATAACTATGAAGTATACACCACTTTTATCTCAAATTATTATAAAGAATAACATGTGCAGCCACAGAAATCATAACCCTTTAGAGGACGTTGCACTATCGGATGTTAATGCCGCGGCTTCTCTGACATAACTTAACAATATTATTAACCGAATTGGAGGTAAATAGCACAGGATAACCACCTTCGAGCTTTGACAGCCAATCAGCCCTTCTTTTCAAAACATTTTGATTAAGCGCCCCAGATCTGTGCTCACTGAAGCGATCTCAGCTTGAACGGGGCTTTATTATTCTTGAATTCCCAACCTTTGAATTGCCTGAATCCTGCGAAAGGTATCCCTTTTCTGCGGAACGTACTTGTACAGCTAGGGTCCCATTATACTGGAGTATGTACCCCCCCCCCCCCAGCGGGTCCTTGATACACCTATGCTTGAAGCTTCGGTTCTTCTCTCTTCAATTTCCTGTTTTCAACCGGAATGGATTATAAAACAAAACGGAAAGGATAATTATGGGGTGAATTAGGAAACCACATCCTCGGTTGAGTGACGTTGTGCTAGTCTGTCGAGATGGATCTAGATGGAATTAATGATCCAGAAATGGAAACTCGAACGTTTTTGCGGTTTAATTGAATTTCACTTCGAAATTTTATAGACGTCATCACGGTCCAGGGAAAGCAGCATCAAGCAGGGGCACCCAACGTCAATTTTCGGAAAATATCTGTTCTGAAGACGATTTGAGATCTAGAATTTTCGGAACATTTGTTGTAAAATTTCTTGCTTGCCCGCCTCTCCTAGGATTTTCGAACACCAAACAATTGGCATAATTGCCCATTTTAAACGTATTTTTACCCTAAAAAGATCACCTAGAATTTTCGGGAACCTTTTTTCTGGCTGAAATTTTCGGAATGGTCAGTTTTGATTCCTATGATTGTTGAATGACTAGACTTTCAGATAGTTTAAATGCTAAAATACGTTTAACAATGCTATTTTTAAGTGGTTTTGAACTATATTCTCGCTGGGCACCCCTGATATATTATGGCTCTTGTCGGGATATCTCTGCATTAAAGAACTAGTCTCAGTGTACCAGCTGTAATCTCTGCTCAGTTGTTTCATTTGCTGGGGTGATTCAGTGATTGATGAGTCGTCACACTTTAGGATTCTGCTCAGAAGTTATCTTTTCAGCTGTTATTCAGAAATGGTCACACTTGATCTCTTTTACATTTTTAAAAAGTTGCAGTACCTTCAGTTATACAATCTAAACAATGTAAACAATTCCAAAAGCAAGTCTAGTTCTTGTTCAGTGGCGCAGTGCGAACTGTAACGGACCCACTTAAATGTAAGCCAGCGAACGTATAGACTCCGTATAGCCCAATTAAATATTGAAAAATATTGATCACTACCTTCAATTAGTATGTGTCCACCGGAACCCATCCAAACCAGAGTCCAAAATTAGAGCGACCTGTTGAGCAAAACAAATGGTTATCTCAAGACAGAGCTGCACAGTTCAGTTCAATCAGTTTTAATACACACTCAGCTATAAGACTTTTCAGTGGTGGACACTACAGTCAGTAGCACAAGAAGATACTGCTCCACTTTGCTTGGAAGTTGCTTTCATCCCGTATTTTGTATGTACTGTTTAAACCTTTCTTCTGTAAATGCCGTATGATGCAGGACGCTGGGTTATGAACAAAACAGCAAATTAAAAGTAAACCTGTCTCGACATCGATCGACATTTTTCGACCGAACGAGCACCTCAGGGACTTCGTACGTTTCCATGAGCCCCCATATATTCCAAGCAGCGATGTCCTGGATGTGAACTGAATCTGCCGGATGAGACACCGACTAGCCCGTTAATGTAGACCACAAAGGATGTATCAATTGCTTTAATGTTACTTTCTTAGCAAAGAGGATGAAGTACGTTTCTATAAGCTTATTTAATTTATAACTACCGACTCCAGGCCAATTTGAACTTTATACTCTTGAAGACACATTTCTCACTTTTTAACTTATTTTGAACTTGTTCAGTTCAGTTTCAGTTTTTTGTACCAATGAATTTAAGGGAACGTGAACACTTTGCGAAGTTTTTCGACCATTTTTAAAGGCACAACCATCGCGCCAAAACCCTCTCTACGAATCCTTTATATTACTGTCTGTTGTCATTGCTGAGAACAGCAGAAAAATTGCACGTGCAAAAAAAGTAGACACAAGAGTACAGTTTTCCAGAATGATCCTTCGAGTCGGTTGTTGCATTTTGGCTGTGATTGGACGCTTTGATAGCGTGCAGAAGACATAGGCGGCTTTTTGAAAAAAAGGCGTGAAAGTCGGAGAATTAACTGTGGCGGTATTTTCACTCGCATTCATGACGCTCGCAAAGCCAAAAATATCAGCTCGTCAAGAATATTTCCGGAAACCCTTGTTTATATTGCGCTTAACAACTCACGAAATAGACTAGCAGCAACATCGATGTTTCTAATGCGTTTATTTCTCCATATATATCCATTAGCGAATGACTATTTTTTTCACAATATTCACATATTCACAAACACGTTTGGGCGCATGTTACGATTTTTCATTACTTGACACATCGTATTTATACATCATTTTCTGTTTCTCGTCAACTTATCGCTGTTATGTCTCTATTAAAATTAAATATTTAAAGAAAAAAGAATCACGGAATGTTCTAAATACAATCTTTGTGTTGAATAATCTCTTTTACTATCCGACAATATTGCACTACGTCTAGAAATTTCTACTAAAGACATCTTTCACTCTAAACTTCTTGGAAATTAAGATATGTATTTAAATATAATTTTTATTATCTCTCTTCCTTTCGTCAAAAAACTAGCACTCAGAGTTACAACAACCTCCCAGTCGGGATAAGGCATAGAGCTTCAACGCTTGCTCGGAAGTGCGGTTTTCTTGTACAGTCTGCCCACACTGACGACTTTTTAACGCATTCTCACTGAATCCTCTGACTTTTGTTTCCACTTTTCATCGTGAACTTTTATCCCTCCTCTCTATCTTCAGGTTATCTCAGTTCCTAAAATTCCAATCCAAATCCATTATTCACTCATGTCTTTCCATGGTAAAAAGCGGTCAAGAACTCGCCGTGCTTAATTCTGTAAAGCAACAGCGTTCCTTAGTCTTCTCTGGAAATCCTGATAGAGAATGTTTCCACCTTCTGGAACTCTGTACAGGAACATGTCCATGGTCATCAAGCAGAGGGCTTTACCGTTCATTTGAAATCTGTCAGGTCTGACACTACCGAGGTTGAAAGCTTCAGACATCCACTGCAGCCAGCGGCAGACGTCCTCACGGCTCCATCGCCTAGGATCTGCTGCGGAAAAGAGAAGCACTGTCTTAAGGCATGCTAATTAAGTGTTTCCTAATCTACGGCTTGCAAGCTCCTTCGCAGTAACTGATGGTTTACGAGCGCAGGAGTGGCCTGCAAATGCAGATGTCTCTCCTCGCCTCCTTCGAAACGTCGCCCCTCATTTTTCTCTCTCCCCTCCGCGTGTCGCCTTTTCTCGCGTGGGGTGATTTTCACGCGCTCTCGAGTTTCGCTGGCTCTACTATCCCTGAGAAAAAATGGGGGACTACGCGTAGTCTAGACCTAGCGGAGAGGAGCGAGGTGGGAGACGGCTGTATTTGCAGGCTGACTCAGGAGACATGTCAATATAGGCTGGATAAGTGTTGACCGGAATAGGACTGTTAGTGTCAGCGAATGTCCTTTCAACGTCCTGCGCAGAAAACCTCAGTCTCCATGTGAAAAATCTCTTAACGGTGTAACAATTTAAATCACCCTTTGGGAGTGCGCTTCTTAGTCTTCGAGTAAGCTCGCTAGGGTCTTCTTCTCCCAACCCCCCCCAACCCAGGAGCCCTCTAGAGAGCTTCCTCGCTCGCTATACACTGTTCAGCTTAATTTGTATTTTCGTTTTTTACAAAATAAATTTGCAGACTTTTTAAAATTCAATTTCCGATTTGGCCGTTTCTGGCAGCGGAGGGATGTCACAATTTACTGTTATGTTATAATAATAATATTTATCGAACATTGGTTTCAGTACTAATTTCATTGCTATGTTGGAAAAGACCACTGTTCGGAAAAAAATTAAAAGAAAGATAGAAAGATAGAAAGAAAGAAAGAAACGCACTGGATCAACATAGCAGAGTTGTCCCCTATGATTTAGCGGCCACTGCATCCTGGTACTTTTAATATTTTTTATGATGTACGACAGAGTCGACGACTCTTTCAGTCCGTAGATCACTAAAATTCTATGGTATCAGTGTAATTATCATCGAAATAAAACCTCTAAGGTAGCCTATCCAGTAGCGAAAGTTGAAATTTTTGATGAAATGATTTTCACTTCAATTTAGTTTACACATTTTTATATGCGTAATTAAGTCTTACTAAAAATAGAGGCAGTGTATGGAAGGTCGCACGTAAAAGTAAAACTACTCACTCAACTTTTAGAGTTTTACGCGTCACCTCGCATACATTGCCTCTATAATATTTACGCGCGTGAAAGATGTACGCGACAGTGGAAATCCACTCTAACGAGACGAGAACTGATCACCAATTGCGTTGGTTACTGAGAAGCAGAAACAAAAAAGTGCAAAACGTTATTTATATGATTATTACTAAGGAAAAAAGCAGATCACGTACTTCAATGCCGGGAGGATAAACAATGCTTTAATAAGCTAGCATAGGTCAAACAGCGAACATATAAGCATAGGGTTAGTGTTGAGGTAGTTATTAACATAGCCAAACACAAGCAGTATTAACTACCACTCTTGCTGTAACACTCACTGCTATTGCTGTGAGGCATGAAAACTGTTTCGAAAGATGCCAGACGGATTATTTTACATATTCCTCACATATCGTCATCATCATCGTCACTGCGAGTGAAAATCAGCAAAATTTATCGGTTTTATGCCATTAAAAAAAAACAAAAATCATTCAGTTAACTTTGTTGAACTGACCAAGGAATTAAATTCTTTATGAAACGTTAACTTTTTTAAAGTACAAAAAATCCCAGTAATGCCAAGCTCACGAGTCTACATACCTTCGCTTAACGGTTCATCGTGGTAAACTTCATGCTTCTCTTGTTTTATCCTCGCTACACCAGGCTGCATCTTGTCGATAAAGCGAGCGTGTTGGAAAACGCTCGGTCGAAGGGGCACGGGGTACGCCAGCGTTGGGTCTAACCTTGGAAAAACACAAGCCATGAACGGTTAATAGTGACGCGAATATGCGAATTCTTCTCTTGATATTAACTTCTACCGGGCGCCGAGCAAAGATATGTGTGTATATATAGCGTGATAAAGAGCTTATGAGGCACTAGCATGCACCCTGTGTAACCGGAAATGTTCAATAGATTATTTCCTGCCGGCAGTTGTTTGTATTCTTTGCATGATTCACGCTAACAAATATTTCGGAAGTCACGGTCTTTTATCTTTTTTTGTGGATTACATCGATAAATACACAGGCAAGTGGCGGCTCGTGTAAAGCAATTTTTAATTAATATTAAGGCTGACAATTAGTCTAAGAATTAAAAGAAAGCAATTTTGGGAACAAGTCAAATTCTGAAAGAATGAAGATTGCAGCTGCTTGAGAGTGATCGATATTATTAATTCTGTTTTGTTCAGTGAAAAACAACCCTAAACAAAGCCTTTAAAAAAAATATGACGAAATTTCTCGATTGCCGGAAAGCTAATACAGCCCCCCGTTCAAAATAAAGAATACACCTCACCAACAACTATTGCGGAATTCCGGAACAACAAGGTGAAGACGGAACCATTAAAGTATAATTATAACTTCGACATAAAAAGTATTAATACCTGGACGAAGACATTTTCAGAAAGATCGATCAATTTTCCTTTAAAATACGCCGCCGAGTCGAGCAAATTCCACGCTTGTGATTACCCACTATTCGTTGTGGAAAACTAAACGGGTGCGGAGATCACGCAAATGCTTTATAGCTCGTCTCATCGCATATAAATAACCCACGTCACGAAACGTTGACGCATGAAAACCTTATAAAGCTACAAAGAGGTTTATTGAAAATCCGCTCTCGAGTTGCTCACTAAATACAATAGGATGGGAATTAGGATAGAGTACCTAGCAATTATTCAAAACGGCCTTTACATGTAAACTTTTTTACTTATAATTCTCTGATCTTCGTAAATCGTGACCTGGCAATCTTCCCTAGGAAGGGATTTTTAAACCCGCAGAAAAGAAAATAGGCAATTACCTAGATACTTCAGACTTCATTCGCCCCAAGAAACGAACAAAGAATAAAAGTGCAACCAAGCCGAACATTAGAAGACGTGATGATATGTGCGAGCAAAACAGGAACTCGAAAACAAAAGGCTCTTTCCTTTTGCGGTTAAGGTTACGTAAAACTAGAACTTCGTCTTCGCGGAATACGTGCTTTCAAGCTAAACCAAGACAGCAGTGAGATAAGCTTCCAAATTTGGCCCAAACTCAGCATTCACTAATTAAGACCATTAACAAGCGAACGCATTTCAGAGCTTTTAAAACTATAGCAAAGATATTTCAGAGAGAAAAGATGGAAAACGCACGCCCTTAAAATTCTCTTCTTTTGTTTTATTGACCTTTTGATACTATCTCTGGTAGTATTTTAAAACTAACTTTCGTTTTTGTCTAGCCAGGAAACATACAGGTCTCTTCTTCTTTTACTGTTTTTGGTTTCTGGTTAAATCTGACAGCCAAGAAAATATCCGGACAAATTATCGGTAAAAAATCGTGGGTTGCTAGAGCCTGTTTGATTTGTTGATCAGCCCTTTTGAGGGACCAAAAAATAAACTATGAGAAAAATCTAGGATGCTTGATTTTCATGATATCTTCTCTTGAGAATTTTGAAGAATGAGCTAGATAAGTACGAAATACTGATTGAAAGTAAATTTAACAACTAAAGCCACAGAACAATTGAATCGCTCTTTATATGTTCAATATAAAGCAACATTTCATGACAATGTTCATAAACGGTAACGAAGAAACTGCAACTAAAAGTAAAACGTTTTTTTTAATAGCAAATATACACATAAGCCTTCAACTCCAAAAAAGTGTTTTTTGAGATTTCGACGAATATCCCAAATTCCACTAAAAGAGAAAACGGACATTTGAAGAGTGCCTATCAGACTTAATGGTTACACCACAAAATTTCGTCCATAGCTCAAACTTTCAAAACACTTACGCATATTCCTGTCGTTTGTAGCGAAAACGTAACTGAAGAACATTCCTTATGTTTTTAACAACAAAAGGAATTTCAATAAAGTTTGTTAAGTGTTTCAAGTGTTATTAGTCATCTGCACTTGTCAGCAAAGAGTCATATTGCAAAATAAGCTTAAAACATCAACAGAGACTATTGATAGATGGCATGTTTTCAACCTTTAATCGAAGCCCAAAACAACAAGGTGTCTGCAGATGGCATTCCATTGATTTTTCATCAGTTTTACGTCACGCTTATGGCTACACCCTATCGAAAATCGAAACTTGCCGTTCCTTCCTTGTGGGAATATTTTAATTACTTTAGCAAAATCTCTGCGTTAAATTCATCGCACGTGTCAAAACTTAACCTTAACACTGCGGACATTTCAAATGAAAGGGGCGAAAAATAAAGAGAGCAAAAATCATATGGGGAATGTCTTAATTAAATAGGATAATCCCGGAAAAGCAGACATAGATATATACGCGATTTATAAATTACATATTTGTCTCCTAAGTATTGTTACACCGCACTATAGGGAACTCGTAGGGCTACCATGACTTTAAAAAACATAAGAACTTCACAGATTTTAGAGACATTTTTTAAGGCTTCCAGTTACCTTTTTTGGCTGTAAGTCTACTTGAAACATGAAGTTAATTTAACTTTTTAACTTCCAGGGCCTTTTTTCACAGCTAGTAAACGAAATAATTTCTAAGCTAAGTACGATAATATTATTTTCTTGAGTTTATTTCAAAAAATAGCCTTATTTGGCCTGTATTGACTTTCTTCATTTAGCAGTAGAACAAACAAGATATTTAACGATCCGCCAATTCACCCGCCGATTCAATACTCTGATAATTTTGGCAGCCGAAGGCGTTTCCAGATAATTCCTCTCGCATAAAATAAAATGAATATAACAAGATAATAAGTACAGGTATTTTAACAGCAAGGAGATATAGGTTTGAATTAAAAGTGGGAGTTTTTTTGTGTACCAGAATTTCAGTGTGAATGTACAACGAACTTCCCACAGACAAACCCTGACTAACAAAAGACTCCAAATTTTTAAAATGTAACTAAGTGAAAGTATTTAGAAAAGCGGAATTTAAAATGATCCAATACGATATTCGCTCCTTACCTGTTTTAAAAACCTCGAATACGACAATATTCAACCAAGAATAAGCAAATTTCGGAGATGTTTTTCTGTTTTTAAGTGAGGAGTCTAACCAGTACAACCAAGAGTTAAAATTGTTTCTACTGGCGAGATCGGCGACGGAGCGAAACAGTTTCCGTGTTCAGTTATTGTTTGAACGACCGGCCTAATATTTTTCCTTTTCAGTCATAAGACGATACCAGAGGAAATCGTGGCAGGTTTGGCGGATTTGGGAAAACCAAAGAAAGCCGATTGAAACGGAAATAGCGCTACCGTGCGAGCTAAATTTATCCACAAAAATGACAAGACAACCAGCATTTCCTTGATTTAGATTTTAACGGTTTCGCGTGAAAGATTACTGACTCACGTAGTGAACAGTAAAAAGCACTCGTTTGAAACGAAAGAGAGCTAAGAAAAAGGAGCAAAACAAGCATCATGCCTTTTGTTTATGTTTCTCGCCAGCAAAGTCAGTAACTTACCTAGAGTTTGATTTATTGTGTTCTGTTGCCTCCGTATGGTAAGGGTACATTTCAGGTCTTGGGCTGTACCGCCAAACTCGAGGTTCGTGACTCAATGGAATACCGTCCAAACGTGGTCGTTTTTCGGCACAGTTTGTAGCTGAATGACTGATCTCGTTGGTTGAATACATGTTACCAGCTCGCAAAGCTTCAACCTCTTAATATTTCCGTCCTACGCCCACAAGAGCTGAAACCACAAGAAACAAATAGGACAAGACAGAAGTCAGCGCTGTTATTGTACTGTGAAATAATTATGAAGTGACCCCTTCGCTTTCTACCGGAAATTACCCGGCGGGAAAATTACAAGAACTGTCACCTTGGTAAGAAGCTGAAAAATGGCCCTTGCGCCAGTGTTTTGAGAAAGATTCGAAGGTTGTTACAAAAGACTACCCCAGACACCTAATAAAGCGACTCAAACGATATTCTCGCTTTAATAACAGCCAGATTGAAATATAAAAGATAAAAAATTCCTGCACGTGACAGCGTATCACTACAAGCCTTCGGAAATTGACCGGAAACGGAAACATGACGTTATCTTTTTTATCGGCAGCCGGAAATTGAAACAAAGAGCATCACTCGACATTACGGCGTTGTATCAGATTTTATTGACAAAGGACACAAAAGACTGCTTTCAAAGCAAAAAACAATGATCAACAATCTTTTTTTAGCTCAGGGATCATGCTCTTTATTGTGTATAAACCATCAGTGCGATGGGAATGAAAATCAATTAATCACAATGTTATCTCTGGAAATTACTAGTTTCCGGTCTATGAATAAGTGGCCAAAAACGAGGATTTCAAACCGGAAATGCCTTCCGCACATGGCTGTGTCCGTCCTTGTAGGAGAAGATTGATTTTCACATGAGCACGACTTCTGATCTCGTCTTAACAGAACCCACGTAATCTTCAGGGTTAGGGGCAATAGTCATAATCTTAAGTAACTTTTTCTGATTCGATTTTTCGCTAAGCATTTCCGAGTCGTGCGCGATAGAAACTAACAAGCTCATCAAACGAAAGCTGGAAATATTTGCCGTATCTCCAGATCTCTCTCAATCAGTTGATGGCATCTATGCTAATGACAGATGTTTGGTAATAAGGCGAGGCATCGATCAGGAGGGTTTTTAAGCTTTTTTTTTTTTTTTACTTGGATGAACATTCAAGATTTCATATCAATTAGAGCTCTTGTTTTCCCTTTCCTGCTGGCAGCTCTAACGGAGCTTTTGAATTTCTTGAGTGCAGAACATGTTTACAAATGTTCTCCAAATTTCAGACGCTTTCTGTTCTTACTCTGTTTGACAGCATATTTTGAATAGGCTGAGTTTGTACGCTAGCAATTTCCGAGTACTTTAGTAAAGCTCAGCATTAGTCGAGCATTTTAGTGGAATTTTCCGAGAATTTTTTTTCAGAGCAAATGAAAATGAACGGCTTCTTTAGAGAAAAATGAACTCTTACAGTCGAAATTCCACAAAAAGCTTTTAATTGGAAAAAATAGAGCATTAAGGTGGAGCATTTCAGGAATGGGGAAACAAAAGTATACTGTAGCGGAGCCTAATTTTGAAAGACAAGAAAACTGACTAAACTCAATAAATATTTGTTATTGCATCGCGGCTCTTATGTTTGGAATTTTCAAGTAAACATTTCTCGGCAAAGTAAGGTGAATATTCCGTATTTCCGTCCTCAAATAAGTATACATCCACGCTCTAGTAGTAAGGCGCCAGAGTCTGCCGTCAGTAAACAGCCCCTCCCTCTCCTTAAAAATCTTTTACAATTCGTAAACTAACATTTAGCCAGCTTGAGAAAACAGCCGACATTTCGCGACACCACCACTCCTCCAGTGGTTTCCACATGACATGACGTAGCGAGCGTGTTGCTACCCAGATCTGGGTAGTGCTTTTGATTGGTTGAAGCAAATACCCTCACAATTTTGAAGCAATTCAGTTTCCGGAGTGAGTTGGTCGTGACCAGGATGCTGAGGTACGGCTGAGGCTCGATGAGTAACTCTGTACTGACCCAAAATCCGAACCCTGTTGCAGGTTCATTTTCTAACCGGCACTTTTAAACTAAAACTCTCTATCAATAAAGCGCTGGATGCCGTTAAAACTCCCCTATGAAGGGAGTCAATTACATGGTAACAGGGGCACCCAACGCGGATATAGTTCAAAACCACTTAACAAAGCATTGTTATTTTAGTCCTGATTCAAACGGTAGATATAGGCATATTTTTATCCCCTAAAACCTTTCATCTGTTCGGATTTCCTAGCTGAAAGTCTAGTGATCCGAAAATTATAGGGATAAAAACTTACCTTCTCGAAAATTTTAGCTAGGAAAAGGCTCTCGAAAATTCTAGGTGGCCTTTTTTAGGGTCAAAATCCGTTAAAAATGGGTAATTATATCATTTTGTAGATGTTCGAAAATCCTAGGAGAGGCAGGCAAGCAAGAAATTTTACAACAAATGCTCCGAAAATTCTAGATCTCAAATCGTCTTCCGAACAGATATTTTCCCGAAAATTGCCGTTGGCTGCCCATGGTAATCCGCCACGCGCGTGACTGAAGGCCCGAGACCTTCGGAATAGGGGGCGGGGGGTCAGAGGTTCTTTTTTTCTTCTCGGGCTGCCGCCCTCGTTTTTTCTCCGTCGAGCAAATCGCGGCCCCGTGCACACCCCCACTAAACCTGAAGAAAAAGACGAGAGGTGCTTTTTCGCAGTCTAGAAAGCCCTGGTTTCACTCTGAGGCCCCGAATGTCCAGGGTTAAATCCTGGGGGAAGGACTGCTTCAGTCTAGAAAGTAAGGCACTAATGGGGATGTGCGGCTGGATGGAGTCACACTTTCACGACTGGATTGACTATAACGGGGTTGCATTTTCAATAGAGTTACTAGAATGGGGTCGCACATTTTCGGATTTTTTGGGGTACGATGTCAGTTCTTCATATTTACCTTAGCAAACATACCAGAATATTTGTACTGGAGATGAAAAGTAAAGTGTTCTTCATTGAATCTAAAAATGGGTCAATTCATAAAAATAGAAAGTGACTAAGATGGGGTATGTAATGGCTACAGAATAGACTATAATGGGTTAGGGGCTCTGCGGAGACCAGCGGCATCTTTAGTTCAGCCCCTGCTCTCGGAGTATTTTCCCATTTAAAAACTAAAGTTAAAAGAGTCTCACTCTGGTTTGAACTCTTAGCTTCACTTACACTAACAGGAAGCTGCCGGGATGAGGTGTAAACTAATGGAAGAGGCTAAATTGTCTTGCACTATCCATAGATGTGATCCTTCCGTTTGTCGGTACGACCGTGGCGCGCGGGTTTAAATCTTCAAAGCTTATCATAACCGAGTGAGACGCTTTTAACTTTGGTTTTTAAATGGGATCATTAAACTTAATCCTCAAGATTAGCTTGGCCCCGGCGCTTGAGAATTCTACCATTTCATTTCAGTTCGGCACCTGTTTTTACATGCGAACGTGGACAATGAGATTGGAGAGATACTGGAGACTAGTTTATTTACAACTTATTATCCGGGTTCAACTCCAAATAAAACAAATATAGTGCAAATTGCATTTTACCGAGATTTGACGGCAAAATTTACATTTGACGATCTGAATCACCGCCGGGATCTCAGCGGGAGTTAAAGCCACAGGATCGGAAACAAGCTATAACGCGATAGTAGCTTTCTTGAGAATAATATCATGATCAAGAAATAAAAAAAAACTGATCGATCATTCTATACGTGGATTATTCATAACCAGATTTATTCACAGACCTTGCTCCATGAGGAGGGTTAATCTCGTCTAAAACCTGAAGGATACGTATACGTGTTTATAGCGTCTATGTTTTCGAATTATTTAGATCAAGCGAATTGTACAACTCTTTCGTCAAAAGTTACGATGGGCAGCAAACGTCACTTAAAAATTCGAAAATGGGAAAATACTCCGAGAGCGGGGGCTGAACTAAAGATGCTGGTTAAGGTATTAAAATGAAATACTTGTATTTAAGAAGCTAACTTATCGCTCCTTTTTAAAAATTAGAGTTATTCATGCTGTGAAGTATTTCCTGCAATTCAAAGAAATAAACAGCTTATAATTACACTCCGGTAATACCTGACAGGTATTTTACCATATCACAATCAAACAAATTGGTCTCTTCTTTTTACTGTCTGTAGAGGACCAGATCGTTTTAAGCTTATGACGGTGACTTCCTCAAGTCGACTGACGTTTTGAGCGTTAAGTCTAGACCAGATATCTGGTCGCGTGAGTTTTGTTGGAATCTTCCAGAGCACTAGCCTGTGAAAACATCCGTTTCTCCTCGCTCTTCGCCGTTGGGGAAGTTTCGCACGGAGGAGGTTCTCCTCCGCGCGAAACGTCCCCAGCGACGAAGAGCGAGGCGAAACAGATGTTTTCGAAGGCTACCAGAGCACCGGTCGAGAAATTTGGAGGTACCTTAAGAATTCACTGCCATTAAGTACAGTTTTCTAGGATGACGCTGATTATTTTTTGATTTTCAGGTTTGAAACTGATAGTACCAAGAAGCGGAACAGATATTTAGAGTAAAAATCTGTGACCCACAGAAATAAAATTATAGGCCGGATATATGATCACATATATGTTTAACTTAGCTATTAGTACATGCGCACATAGGGCGTGGATTAGAGAAAAAAGACCGTTGACTAAAAGCCAGTATCCTGCGTAGCAGGCGCTTGGAAGTAGTGAGCGAAAGAGAGAACGGGCGCGCGCGAGGGACACACGCGAGGGGTGCCAGTTTTTTCTTTGTCCCCACTACTTCCAACAAGCGCCTGCTACGCAGGCTAAAAAGCCAGCGGACTCTGGGCAGGGGAGCATGTAGGGACTTTTTACAGAAGCGGTGCTGGCTGGGGCCGGCGAGGATGGATGTGGTGAGGCGCTGGGCTTTGAAAAGATGAATGAGAATCACTTGATTTAATTAGAACATTGATTTGAATTTAAGAACATTGATATTTAAGCTTTTGTACTTTAGATCACATTTCAGTCACTAAATTCAAAAGGAAAGGTCTAGTTTTAATTTGCTAAACCGAGACAAGCCTTTAAGCTAGCCTGGATCAGGCTAACCTGTAGACAACGGCCCTCCATATAAGTAAGTAGAATATGATTGTCAAATTATATTTTTGAGCTATTTTGGAGTCAAACCATTGTTGGAGGATTTAGTCATGTGTTTAGTTATACATAGTTACAAAACGATTTTGAATTGTCCTTTTGCCAGATCGAATAATTGCAATATCACCTCAGTTGATAAACAAAAAAAAATTATACGATTTGTGGTGGATCAGTTCATCGGCAGTACTTTCTACGCGGAACACTTACCATGGTTCGGCCTGCATGCAGCTGACCCCGAAAAAAAGCAGTCTCCGCCGCACTCAATCGCCCCACGAAAAAAAACCCTGATACCAGGGTAGGCTTACAACGGTCAAACAAGGCAAATTTTCAAAAGCTAAAAAAATTACTCTAAGCTAAGGTTGTTACTTTAATTCACTGTCCATCGCCGTTAGCCTTTTGAAAGTGCAGTAAAAAGGGTTTGGAGTGTATAGAAATGTAACTGGTGATACTGTGGCACCATTTGTCAACATGAACTTATTTACTCGCGAGAAAAGCTAGCGTTTTCATCGAATAGAGGGTCATTGTATTAAGAAAAATAACTAAATTGATAAACTCTTTCAAACCTCCTTACCTTACCTGAGTTTCCTTAAAATGGTAAAATAATTCCCGCCGGATAAAAGAAAAAGCACCACGGACGTTGCTTATGAGTCCTCTTTGAAAGAAATATGATGTATTGGCATTTCATGTATCATGAGAAATTAGTATAAAGAACTTATAATTGCCATGACACTTAACCTGCGATCAGGCGATATTATTATTTTTTTTCGGGGAATATGACACTCCGATAACTTTGTAACTTTGTTTTTAAAGCAAGTCTGTTGATCGTCTATAGGCGCGCGATCCGTTTTAAATTGATGCGGACGATCTATTTCCCAGCTGGACTTGGCTATGTCGTAACTGTAGTTTAATGGTAAGTGTAATTTATTCCTCATGGCAGAATTTGCCGAAAAAAAGAGAAAGAAATATAAAGGAATTCTTAAGCAAGGTTAAGGGTTTTTACATATCATAGGGCAGTGAAGAAATAACTCATTTCAGAATTTAGCGCCGGATTTTACAACAAAAGCTCTTGACGACGGCTATGCAGTGTGATAAACATTGTGGCGCCGTCAGCCGTTAAAAAATGTAGATATAGATGTACAACTTAATTTTAAGACAAAACACAAGAGACAAACTGAGAATGCCTGAGATGTTTTTGTTCAAGTACCGAAAAGGACGATTTTCCGTTTCCTCCTTACTCAGCTGTTGTGACGTTTAACCTTACGGGAGGCTTATGTCATTATGTGCGTGGATTGAATCTGTTCGATGTCGAAACCTTCCTAAAAATGATCTTTATAAAACCTTTCTGTTTATTTCCTGGTCTTAGCACAAAACGACTAAAACGTTCGCAAAATGTGATAACAATAAAGAAATTATATTTTATGATGTTTTTCTGAAGCATTAATTAAAGAACAACAACAACTTTAAAGAAAGAAGAAAAAGGCAGTCAACTTATTGTAAAGAACACGTTCAGTCACAAATAGCTCGGTCATCGCTTGCATGTTCTATTCACAGCTGCGACACTGATATCGAAGGGGTGAACACTAAATCTACAGAACTATGAATCTTGTTCTTCATGAACAACAACACAGGAAATTGCATCTTAACACCTTTCACTTGCTAGCTGTCACATTTCATCATGAACACTTGAAGCCCTAATTCTCCAGACTGATCTTCATACATTTCCTTACAAAATTTGTTGGGAAAATTCGATAAAAGATCGAATCATTTTCTCTTTGGTGAAAATTGTATCACTTCTCATAATCTTTTCTCTTCACAATGCATTGTGGTCGTCAGGGGAAAATTGACGTCGATCTCTATTAGAACAAAAAGGTTTAATGGGGGTAAGGGGGAAAAGACGATTTTCTCGTCGGATTTCTGTCCCTTTGAACGACTAGGCGTTGATCATTGCTGTTTTAAGTCAATTCTGTGCTGAAGTCATTGCTTGGTGTCTTTGGCCCATACACAAAATGCTCTTGTAGAGTTAAGAAGAAGATATCAGTGAAATTTTATGGGGGTGCAGTAACCATTAGTGATAACAACTTTTTGAGTGATTTTTCAGGCATATCACTAATTGAAAAGGTTGGCCCACCTTTTTAAAGTTTCAAACGAGTTTTAATGGCTACAAAACTGGACCACTATTTTTTTGGAATTCCATTGATGCGAAGGCAAATTTTAGCTTGTTAAAAAGAAAGCCAGCGTGACATAGCACCCTTTAAGTAATATTATAAACAGCGACACTTGCTCTGGGGTCACTGTTTCTTTAAAGAGGCTGAAAGCAAAAATACCTTGTACATCACGAACAGTACCAACGAAAAGTGTGTTTTCAGTTGCGTTTATCCCGGCAGTTATACGCGCGCCACTCAAACCCTGAGCAGGATTCCGATCACGACTAGCTTATGGCATCCAAGGCGGGAAACATCGTGTAAAGCGTAAAGAAAAAAATAAAACAAAACAAAACAAAGCGAAGTAAAAAATATTAGACGTCACTATTGCAGTTCAATCTGTGACTAGGAAAAAACTCTTGTAACGTCTTGTCTCTCAGTGACAAATATTGTACAAAGTGAGGTTAAGCCATAAGAATGAAGCGTGTTTTCCGGCCACAAGGAGAGCCTTTCTTTAGCTTAAAACTCGCAACAAAGCCGTTTATTTCACCCCCAAAAAGTAATTTTAGCGACCCCTGGTTGTAGCTTTGTTAGATCGCCCCTCACTCTTCCCAGCAAGAGAAACGTCTTTTAAATCAAATTACTCGTAAGTTAGAAATCTCTTACCGAGAACATGCACTGAACTACCATTAAAGACAAAGTTTACATGAAGCTGACATACCTGGGTTTGTTCCCTTGTTATTTCCTTGACTTTGCTCAGTTACTAGCTCTTTGATCCTAACGTAACTGCTTGAGCAAACAAAACCTGAACTTATAAAATGTTTGTAAAAGAGATAGATTGTATGAGAGTTTTCTTATTGCCCTATTACCATTTATGGGAAGATGGCCTTACAGCACGAACAATTAAATGCAGGAAATAAAATTATGGATTTATCTTTAAATCGTCATACAGTTAAAAATAGCGAGATCCTCTTGGCATTACCCGAAACTATTACTGGCTTACCACACTTTAGTTAGCATGATGACTATATCCGAACCACCGTAATGTTCCAAAAATATATCAAGACTCGGATGGCACTGAAAATCACAAATGTCTAACTTTCCTGGCACAGCCGGGTGATGTGATAAGCTTTTTCACGTTGAGTTTTCCTCCCAAATTGTCTGCAATCTTGTATTTCCCTTGTTATTTTTTTCAGCTGTTGTGTGCTCTGTGTGTAAGTAGCTACATAAAGTGGTTAACTACAAAATTGTCATACGACTCTATGATCGAAACTGTAATGCCCTCAATAAACTAACTGACAACTGAAACTGAAGTTTAATTAATGAGTTTGCTGGATATATTTTGACTGCGCTGAAAGATTGATTGGACTAAGCTCGCTAGATGGTAGGGAAGACCAACTGTAAGCAAAAATTTTACCAAGAAAATGTTCACTCCGTGGACCTTGATTCAGTCTCTCTGAATCAAGTTACTAAAAGATGCTAAATGTAGTCGTAATATATGTGGAAAAACTGACAATTTTCTCAGGTGAAATCTTGGCTTGAAAACTTGATTTGAAAGGCGAAATAGATGGGTTGCTCACCGTTCATTATTAGTATTTTGTGCATTAACTGAAGTCTCTTATTTTTTAGTACAGTATAGCAGCTGTGAGGGGCGAAGCCGTATAAGGTTCGAAACACGAGGACATGAGAGTCCAATATCAAGTCATAACCTTAATTATTTGTAATGAATAAGAAATACTTTTGCTCTAGATTATTTGTAAAGACTTAAATACTTGTTCCCAAAAATTAATCAGGCAAAGAATGTAAATCTTCTCTGATGATTAAGAGAGAAATTGACACTGATTCAGGACGACACCAGCGAGACTAAACAGTGATTTGTTTTGGGTCGCAGGCAGAAAAGGAGATCCACACAGAGTCGCCCTTGAACTGTGGCCAGAGTCCACGGAGAAAAAAATTCTACCTGTCCTAGCGTAACTTTCCGAATGTAAACTGTCAGACCGGCAGATCTTTCGCTTGATTCTCTTGTTCCTAAATACTTTGTTAAAAAAATTCTCTGAATTTTCTTGACTTTAAGAGTTGTGTTGGCATCTCTTTGAGCAAAATATTGTTTATTTCATGGTATGAGAGGCAGCACGACTATGAAATCAAAAACAGGCGTCGCCCCTTAGGAAGTTTAAAACCGCCATAACGTAATACTTCCGGCCTTAAAAAAATGCGGTGAATGGAAGAATGAACGCTAAATCTGTAGTGTTTAGGTACAGCTCGTGCCTTTTTATACCTTTTTTTGTGAGCCCAATATACTTTTCAATTGTGTAATTTACTAGGCAAACTGTTCAAGGTCACGGCCAAACGGATTTATATGGATGATATTGAAACTTTTCTCAGTCGAATTTTAAATCTCATTCAATTCAACTTTATTAACATCAAGACATTTTTCGGTTCTAGGCCTGTGTTACGAAACTCTCCTATCTATTTTCTTCTAAAACAATCTTCAGTTATATATTTTTCAGTGCAATTATTAAATTCGCAATTCTTAACTCAACCTTGTAAACCAGGGTTTTCCCCTTGGGGAAATGCCCCATTTCTGGCGAGAAAAGCTCTGGGGACGAGATTGTTTTAACTTAAGTTTGCAAGAAAAGGTTCTAGATTCAATTCAAACAATTGCCTTGTCTTAGTTGAAAAGAGTCTGAAATCATAGATGACGTTCTTCAAAGAGTGATAACAACAAAGAATGCAGATACAACCTCACTCTCTCACTTATCTATTCTAAAAGTTAAGTGTATTCCTCTTCAGTCAAAATAAAACTGTATAAATTTTATGAGCGGCCCGGCCCAGCTGGGCTTACAAACGGTTAGAGCCGGATATATATCATCAAAACAGATTGACTCGCAAAAATAACAGCTGCTTGTAAATTAAGATTAATACGTTTCAAAACCGGATACGGATAAGAAAAGGACTTTGCCTTTAAACTTGCCCCCAGGGTAGAAAAAGCCCTTGATGTCGTCATGCCACACCCAAGAGATGCGTAATTCGCTGCATGGTAAAATTTATACTAATTTTGGTCGTTATCGCTATCTTTAAAACATTTATCCAACAGATAAATAGTTATTCAGTAGATAAATTAGACTCATCTGCTTAACTCTTCGATTTGCAAACTAGATACTACTATATGATTCTTCGCACGGTCAGCTTAAACAGTTTGCTAACCTGACCGTGTGAGTAATCGCATTGCACTTGCTATGAAAGAATGTCTTTTATCAGATTTTTATCAGATCTTGCATGGAGGGTTCTCTTGAAGAAAAGGAAGTTTTCGAGAAGACAAAGTTTGAAATTGAAGTTGATGATCATATCTCGGGATTCAAGATAAGGTGCTAGAACAGGAACAGTTGTTCACTTTTTCCGTTCTATTAAATTTAGATCGCGTATAGGATGTATCGTATAGAGATTTTGGTTACTGGTTATTTTTTAATACAATACACAAAAAGATAGAAAAAAAAAAACAGTTTCTGATGAGGAATATACTAAAAAACCCGTGGACTCTTCGGATTTGCCCCAGGGGGTACTCCCCATAACGGCCCATACGGGGAGGCTCCGTCCGAAATGGGTACCTTTTTCAGGCCTCAGGTATATAAAAGGGCAGGGATTTCATCAGTTGAAGTGAATAAAAGGGTAGGGAAATCTGTCATTTTGCCACCCTTTCCCCTCCCGCAGACTAACTCTCGGCTCGCTTCTTTAGCCGATTTTTTTTTTTTCGCCCACAGCGATTTTTTTGTCCTTTTTCCCCCAATGCGGAGCCTGGTCCTAGGCTAGGCCAAAAAGGGCTTGCAGACTCAATTTATGGATGTGAAAGAACAAGAAAACTTTTTAGACTGAGCACTGATTTAAAGCAGTTAAAGGGGACGTAGTGTTCTAAATAAGTTATGGAAAAAGGGTACCATTTGTCAATAGAAGGAGTAAACTAAGGGGGTTTCTTCTCTGTCAAAAGCGTTACATAAAAGGGTAAGGGGCTGGACTTCGGAGCGGAGTCTCCTCGTATAAAACTTCGGTGAGTACCTCCCGGGGGTTTTACTTACTGCGATAATCATACTCAACGGAAATGACAAAGCCAAAAGTACATTGGAAGTGATCAAAACTTTGAAGCTATGTAGGATACCCAATCAGGTACTAGCAGAGCGGAGGGATGGGATTTGTTTATAATTAACCAACAAATGAAATATTTTTCTTTTATCCAGCCTCGGAATCTGCTGCAGTCTTTCCTTCAAGCCCCTAGATAATGTTTATAAAATTATGATTTTTATCTCTGCAATGTTTTGTGTTGAATTCCCACAGGTTTAGTACATCGCCGTTAGTGAGATAGTTCATGTTTTAAAGACGCAGTGCAGTAAAAATGCAGTGGGATCTGGCCCCAGGTGTTCAAAAGAAGGATAGTGCCATGTATCTAACGGATAAATCACTATCCAGTGGATAGAAATTCATCCAATCGATATTGTTAACCACCTTTTAAACTTCTGCAGCCTGATCTTCATAACAAGAGACGAAAGGTAACAAATCATCTATGCTGTGTACTGAGATGGTTCTACCTTTGAAAGGAGCTTGTATTTCTAATGGCTTTTATTGGACAGCCGGCACTCTGACAGTGCAGTTTCTTGCGCAGGAAATAGCGATCATTAAATCACTTTTCTAACTGTAGACGTGGGCACGTTCTACGTGGAGCGGCTAAAGTGCGACATTGTAGGCATAACAGGCAAACGGCTTACCGTACTTTCGTGAGCTCTCGATAGTAATCTGACAGGGCGGTTGTCACTTTTTCTTCACCCTCGGAATTCAAACCTTGTTGTGTGCTCTGTCCTTCGCATGCAACTCCTAAATAAAGACTGGATTGCTTATGGTATTGTCTGTTTTTTGTTCACCATTTTTTTTCTACCCAGCCAACGTGACTCATTCCGATAGGGCGCTGTTCGCTTTTAAGTGACGGATTTCCGCCCGAGCTAAATCAGGTTTTGTTTCATCGGCGTCAACCAAAAGCTCATGCAGACCGACAGATCAGTACATGTAAAACTCTTCACTAATTCGGATGACTCATAACAACCAACATATGGGTGTATTTAGCCGATCCTTTGCAAAATTCAGAGCATCGCCATATAAAAGCAGTCAAGTTTAATCTTGCCTGTGAGTTTTCGAGACTAAAGGTCCTAAAGGCTTTTTTCGAATGTTGTACCTTTGTTAGTCTCTTCAAAGGGCCTTGTAGGTTAGTAGACTGCAAAGGTAGCTTTGCAGTGTACTGGGATGAAACAAAAAGCTCTGTAGTCTAAGGTCTAAGATAGAGAAAGATGTCTTATAACCGCAAGACAACAGGATATCATCGAGGAAAACCAAGAGAAAACCACTGCTGACTGAGGAACATTGGATTGAACCCTTTGTAGGTACCGCGAAACTCGTGGGCGTAGATCGAGCCTTTTTCTAATATCAACCCCTAACTCAGTAACAAACATGACAGCCAAATAATTATGTACCAGTTTTAATTTCTATAAAGCACGTAAAGTAGATGTCATCGAAACTTCTTTCTTTCTTTTCTTTTTAGCCTGCTTTATTTTTTCTGGGTGTTGCCCGTATGCCTAAAAATTTTTCCGTTCCGTCCAGACTAAAGCTGAAGTGTTACAGAAACGGAAATGTGGTTTACAAAACATCGCAGACGACACGCATCCTCTGTGTTCCATATGAAAGACCCGCCGTACTAACAAACGTACGACAAAAATTTCTGTTACATAAGAAGGTATATGTTTCAGATACAGTACAGAAGGACTTGTAGGGTGGGCCAAATTATATGATAGTGCATGACTCAGCATATAGCGATAAACACCACTTCAGGACTATTTCCGGCCTTGCCATTAAAGTCATCGGAAACGGGAAATTATACTCAGGGCTAGTATTAGTTCAGTTATTTTTGCTTTCAAAGAACGTGGCTCGTGTCATTGTACCCGTGTACATGAAAAGTTTTATTTGTTTTTTCTTGTGGTTGTTGTTGTTGTTTTTTTTGTTGTTGTTGAAGTGGGGGAAACTGTTCTGCGTCTGAAGCAACTCAGATTAGGGCTGCGGCTCATTGTTCGAACCTAGTTCTAGATTCTTAGTCTTAATTTCTTTAGATTCTTTACAGCGTATTGCCTGCGTGCAGACGTCTCCTATTTCCTTTGTTGCAATACAACAATCAGTTGGTGCCCACCTTGGTAAACCTTTATATAGACAGAAAACCGTTTACATAAAAACCCATAAAACGGCCATAAATCTGCCCGTGGACCCCACAGGAGAGACGTAACACACATTTTAAGTAAGGCAAGCTGTTTTTTATTGAAATCCTTTCATTTTCGTAGGTTACAGAAACGATAGGTTTTTTCCCATACAAATCCTTGTATTTTGAATGTTACGCAACAATGCCGATGCTCGCCGATGCTCATATTTCGAGCTTGGGCTACCTGCGGGTATATGAGCCATTATACCATGCTCTCCAAATTTGGTAACGGCTGTACGCGTCTGCTTAAAATTAAAAACAAGCTGAAAATAGTCGGTTTTTACAAATAAAGTCGGGAAGAATTCGCGATATTCTGTAGGCGTTTTAATAAAACGATTATTCCACTCGCGCTTGTTGGATATGGGATGATTTTAACGTAATTGTCTGTATTGTCGAATCTAATTAAAAGTGAAAAAAAATTTTGTAATAACACGGTCAGGTGATCAGTTTTTGTTTTCCAAAAATTAGCGTTTTTAAGTCAAAAGACGAAAATCTAAGATGATACGAGAATTGGACCATTAAGAAACGTTTATGTTACCGAAAAAAACAGCTTACTTTGCAATAAAATAAATCAAAGAAGTCGATCGTTTTATTAAGGAAAGGTATGGTTCCAGGGGATACACTATAATACTGTATCTTTAAAGTCCCATAATTCGAATTTTGAGTGTCGTAGCTAGAAACGGTTTTAACGGGTTAACTCCTCTTCTAATTCTTTTCAGACAAGTAACCTGCCCGAAATGGTATTTTTAACCTTTGATGAAGTTAAGGTTTTCCCGTTTCAATTACCATCATAGAAAGAGGGGAGTTTCTTTTTCGCCCCAAAAGCTCTAAGTACCTAAAAGTATACCGTTAGAAACCAGTGAGGGTATGAGGGTCAGCGGATCTTTAGTAGATCTGTGGATCAGTAAAATCTTCAATACCAAATCTCAAAATTAAAACAGTAAACTGATCCTTGCGGCAGATGAGCCTAGAAAAATAAATAAAGAAAACAAAAATAACACAGTGGAACATATTTGCCAAATATAATTATCCATTTAATTTTTGTTGTTTTATTTTTTCTATCACTCTCCCGCCGTAAGGTTCAGTTTAGTATTTCAATTTTAAAATTTGGTATTTTAAAGGCTCCTTCATGTCCTCGACATAAGGTCAGCCTGTTCATATCACTGGAGGCACTTTAACCACGAAATGTAATCACAGACAAGAACAACAACAGCAAAGCAAGCTTTATTGACAGAAGTGCTTATAAAGAAAAATCATTGAGATAAAATTAAAAATTAAAATTCAAAATCATTTGTAGTTATTAGAATTGAATCCCCAAGTATAATAATTCTGGCTTTATAACAAACTGTCACAGTTATCATCATCATTATTATTATCTGTACCATTACTGAATTATCATCACTTTCAGAAATGTTGCCATTTGCGTGAAACGATTGTGTTGTATCCGACAGATAATACACTTTCCCCGGTACCTATCGAGGCTAGACTACGATTAGTCCCTATTTTTCCTCAGGGAAAGTAGCGCAAGCGAAACGCGATAGCGCGTGAAAATCACCCCACGCGAGAAAGGCGAGACGTGGTGGAGAGAGACAAAAATGAAATTTCTTTCTAACCACCGCGTCTCGCCTTTCTCGCTTGGGGTTTTTTTCACGCTCGCTCGCGTTTCGCTCGCTCTACTATCCCTGAGGAAAAATGGGGACTACTCGTGGTCTATGTCGAGGCCAGTTCATCAGAGTCTATTTCCCGGCCTCCCTCCCAAGGCTCCTCTCTCGCTCCGGGAGACGAGTAGGAGAGGACCCTGGGAAAGAGGTTGCATATTTCTTACAACTTCTGCGGCTTAAAAATGGAATTTGCTCTAAAGACAGGAGCCGATTACACTAATATAAGGCTAATATAAGGCTAGCTTTGCTCCTGACAACTGAAAAAGTATAAAACAATTTTTAAAAACTGGCAAGCTATAAGGCATTTGCGGTTTATGCATGATTCATCTGCCGTTGTTTACTGAACCGGTGACCGTCGACTCATGTTCATCATCACAGACCAGGCAACAAACTGGGGCTGTTCCCACCTAGTAAACAGAACAAGGCAATCATATTACTGCCGCTTTGTACTGACACATTGTCACGGGTGAAGAACAATTAATTGGTGAATTAGCTGTAATGTACGCCACAGCGCTTGACAAAATTTGACCCTTTGATGTGGCGCTCCGTTCGGAGAGGGGAGAGGCTAGAGGGGGGAGGGGAGGCTAGGAGCTTACTTGTGCGTAACCTATTCCCTCTCGCGATTAAGTGAAGATATTATTGGCCTCAAAATATGACCCATTTGTAAAATGCGCCTTTCCTTAGCCAGAGCTTTTTTGTTTCTTCACTGCTGCTGCAAGCGCGACGGATTTTGGACTTCACTCGTCTGTTTGGAAATGCAGCTTGTTCGGTTTATACTAAAATCGTTTGCCCAAAAATGAATAAGAAACAGGATTCATAGACGCTAACCCCCTTTTCGTTTGTAATGGGTCTCCCAGTCTTATTGTACTCTTTGACACTTTTCGCTGTTACCGAATGCTGTATTTGCAGGTGTTCGCATCTTCATCAGCGGGGAGGGGAGGGACCAGAAAGCTCCCAATCCATTCTCTTTTCTTTTAGCCGTCAAAAGCAGATTTTTAGGGCCGAGGCGCCAATATGGAGTTAACTATTTAAATACGTACCTTCACAGCTCTTTTTAACCGTAGTCTTCACTAAAGTCAAGAGTTCTTGAAAATTTTTTGGCTGTAGAATATCATTGGGGTCGGTGACCAAAGTTTCCAGCTGCTCCCTGTCTACACTTCCAATACCAATCGCAATAATCTTGACACCCAAATCCTTGAATGGTTGTATTGCAACCTCAAGAGGTGTCTGATCAGGAACAAGGTCAAATCCAGCTTGGTTCCCGTCCGTAAGAATAACCATGACCTAAAAAAATAGCACATCAAATTGGTTGCCAGCCAACAGATCGAAAAGAGAACCTTATATTCTAAGAGGCTATTGGTACTGCAAAAACGTGCTTTTCGCTTGGTAATGCTCGAGAACATGCAGTTCCTTTTTTTTGTCCAAGCAAAATGACTTCCTTTGTCCTTTTCATTCTTTAAACATGTACGTTATTTAATGTATGCATGACATTCATGAGCAGTCCGTCCCAAGACTAACATTCTTAGCCAATTCACCAAAACCAGTACGATTCAAAATTATAACACCAGATCATCGTCAAATGAATGCTTCTACGTGAAACTTCCAAAACTGAGCAAATGAAAAAAATCTTTTTCTTTTTCGATTTGGAACTCTATCCCTTACTTTGTTAGATGTAAAACTGTGAAAGGTTTGAACCCAGGAGTCATTTCAAAAGTAGGTTGAGTTTGATCGTCCGGGTGAACGTAGTCCTGAATAGGACTGTTGTTGTTGACAGTGACTGACGTTTCGAAAACCTGTGCGGTAGTCATGTTCAGAGTCAAAGTGAGTTGTATCACGTCAGTTGACGGTATCATACTCTGGTTATTGATCTGATTGGTCAAGCCGTGATGTTATTGGTTATGACGACTCGTAATCAGTAATTGGTGCGTTTCGATCCGTCTATTGTCACAGTTAAACACTCGTCTATTGTTAGTCAAATCGTCATTCTTTCGTAGTTAGTTTTGCTTGATCTCGTCAATAAGTCGTTTGTAACTGTTGGCTACGATTCAGTGGCGTTTGTTCTAAGTTAGTAAACCAGCTTTCTAAAGTAACAGGGGCACCCAACGAGAATATAGTTCAAAACCACGTAACATAGCATTGTTAAACGTATTTTAGTATTCAAACGGTAGATATAGGCATATTTTTATCCCCTAAAAACTTTTCATCTGTTCGGATTTCCTAGCTGAAAGTCTAGTGGTCCGAAAATTATAGGGATCAAAATTTTCCTTCTCGAAAATTTCAGCCACGAAAAGGCTCCCGAAAATTCTAGGTGGCCTTTTTTAGGGTCAAAATCCGTTAAAAATGGGTAATTATGCCATTTTGTAGATGTTCGAAAATCCTAGGAGAGGTAGGCAAGCAAGAAATTTTACAACAAATGCTCCGAAAATTCTAGATCTCAAATCGTCTTCCGAACAGATATTTTCCCGAAAATTGCCGTTTGGTGCCCCTGAAGTAAGACGTTGATAGCAGTCTGTAGAATACGTTATACATGTCGCAGAGTCCCAGTCAAATTGATGTTTCGTCTTTAAGTGGTGCTCAGAAATGTGATTGTTGACCTCACCATTCTTCGTCGCTCGTTTGTGTTTGGTCAGTCGCTTGCTTAGGTTTCTGCCGGTTTCACCAATGTAAGAAGCCTGACAGTCGCAGCATTTATCTTGTATACTGCTCCCTGTCTGTCCTCCAGTTTGTCTTTGTCCTTGACCTTAGTAATCAGTCGCCGTAAAGTGGTTATCGGTTTGTGTGCAACACATATATTGTAAGGTTGTAATATACGTGCAATAGTTTCAGAGGTGCCTCTGATGTACGGTATAGTCGCTGTCGTAACAGGGCCAGAGTTGGTCTGAACGTTGCAATCAGTGTTACTGTGAGTGTTCCGTCTAACAAAGTCCGTGTTGTAATTGTTCTTACTACTGTACTGAAAGTACGTTGAAGTCAAACAGAGGTTGAGTAGGTCCATAATGTCGCCTGTAGGTAATGGTAGTTCAACAGAAGAGTTCTTAATAGCGTTCTCACAAACTCAACCTACTTTGCTGTTAGATGTCTTGGTAAATCCAAGTTCCGAATCTTGAAACTTTAGAGCTTGAAAATGACCATATTGAAGTCTCCCAATTGCTCAATTACTTTAGCATGATTTATCTTAGCCTTGGAAAGGCTATTTTATTATTTATTCATTTATCTTTTTTTTCTGAAAGGAAATTTTTTCATTTAATTTTCTTATTTAACCTTATTGTATAGTTATCTCAGTTAATATAATTTGTAGTCTGTCTACTTTGAATTGTCTTATTTCATCACCGTAAGTTTGTTTTCATCTTTCTCCCGCCTCTGGCGACTAGCCTTTTATGCTATTATCGGCGGGAAAGTTTTTTTTCCGATTTCTCAGTATTCCTGTAATCAATGATCTGAGTGTGTAATTAGTGTTGTATCTGAACTATGTCGAATAAAATTTTTGTTGATTTGTTGTTGTTCGAGTACAACTAAGAGAACGAAACTTTTCTCAATACTATGTGGTGCATGCATCAAATCAAACATAGTTATCAAATGTTAGAAAAAGCGTTACCATCAGTGTTGCGATCAGAAAGGGTTCAAAGCACCGTGACAGTGCACAATCCTTTGTTTTCTGTTGGCAAATTGTTACGGTGCAACGTTTTTATTTAAAAATGACTGTGTTTACTTTTATGGTGTGTTTAACTTTTTTCCGATTTCTCAATATTCCTGTAATCTTATCTGAGTGCGTAATTAATTAGTGTTGTATCTGAACTATGTGGAATAAAATTTTTGTTGATTTGTTGTTGTTCGAGTACAACTAAGGGAACGAAACTTTTCTCAATACGATGTGGTGCGCACATCAGGTCATCAAATGTTAGAAGGGTTCATGTTTTGGAATTTTAGAAGGAACAATAAATTGCCGTTTCACCCATACCATTTTTGGTAGAAAAGGTACCCCTTTAGTATACCTTCTATTGACAAATGGCACCCCTTTCACCCATTACCTAATTTAGAAGTTTGTATCTCTTTGAACGATAACTGTCAAATGCACTTTCTTTTCAATATAAATACTTCACAAAATTAGAAAATGTTCTCGACATAAAATCCTTCTGCAGTCCTTGGGTTCATGTTTTGGAAAATTAGAAGGAATAATAAATTACCGTTTCACACTTACCTGGGGATTTAAGAAAAATCATGGTGAATTTATTGATAGCTGCTTAACTTTACCTTTCTTGAATCGTCTCTCATTCCTTCTTGCGGTGTGAATAATTGTTCCGAAGCAACCTTCAACGCCAAATCGATCCGAGTGATACCTGCAGTATGGGGCACTTGTTCCACAAAGCTCTTGATTTCTCGTTTGTCAAAGGATCTTGAAAAATTGAGCTGCAAACTAGCACCCTTGCTGTACTCAATCACACCAACATGGGTCTGATTGGGTCCAATCTGAAGAAAGTCTATCACTCGTTTGACGAACGTTTTTAAAATATCAAATTCCGATGGGAGATTACTGCTTGAAGCATCTATGAGGAAGGTATAATCCGCAAAAGCACCCTCTGGGCCACACAATGGAGCTGAAAGACGTAAGATTGACAGTATGGAAATATACACAATGTCGAACCTCCATGTCCATGTCCAATAAAGCGACTTCTTATCCATAAAAAAAAAAATAATAATAATAATTCCCGGTAAAAGCTTACAGGTGAAACCTCTCGTATCGCATTCTCGTGTGGCCGCAACTTCTTTCTGATCTCCAGTCTATGTTCACTGTAGGAACTATTGCTTATCCGGCGTTTTGCAGTCACTTGCTCAGTACCACATTGTAAATGCCTAATTACATCAGGATAAATATATACAGAGAGAATAATTCTCATTACTCTTGATATGTACTAACAAAACTAGCTAGTGCCACACCTGTTTTTGTAAGATGCAGCTTAAAGCCTTTGTAGCCAAATGCGTAATCTGAAGAGAACGTTAGGATGAGTGTGTTGCCACTGGATTCGATAGGATCAGGTAACTCACTTCCGCATAGTTTAGCCACACGTTTCTTTATATCTTTTGTGTCACCATTAAAAACCTCCAAATAATCATACGGACATGATTCCACCTAGGAAGCAAAACATACGTTACTCGCGATCAGCGAGTAGTAATTATATAATTACATATACAGCTAGGGTGTTCCAAAAGTTCGTTCCTCTACTCTATAAATCTATAATGCGGTACGATTGGACTTGGTAAGCAAATCGTTTAATCTAAAGTAGTCTCTTTCAATATAATTAAGTATTTTATACTTTTTGTGCCATCTTTTGACTCTAATATTCGATTTGTGTACTGCTCAACAAGTGCGCTTGTGCGAGTATGTTTTCCCGCCACATATTTTTTGTACTTTGTAGCCCAAATTGCTCGAACTCCTTCTCTGTTGTTTGTGAATATCATGAAAGATAAACCCTCTTAACTTATAAACGTTCAGCTATATGAGAGCATAAGCATGTATACTTCGATTTACTAGCTTATCAGTCAACGAAATTACTACAAAAATGGAAAAATCCGAATGTTGGGTGATAAGATGGTTATTGATCTGAGAAATGAAGGTTTTAAAGACAAGAAACGAGGGGAAAGTCCGGAATAAAACCGCTCAAACAGGTTTTTGAAAGAACGTTAAGTACAATAGAGGAAACTCGACGATCAGGTAGCTGTCACAACAGATGGCAAGCTAATTTTGGAGCAGGTTCATGAAAAGCAACGTTTGGAGACCCCTTAGAGGGCAATAAAAAACCTCTACTCAGTTTTCAAAGCATCGTTCAGCTGGTCTCAAGTGGCTCCTGCTTACTAGGTGACAAAAAAGCTTAAAATGAATCATCTGGGGCTTTATACGCTACACAACATGGCTCCTGCACTCACTGCCGCAACTGCTACAGAGTGTGATAAAAAAAAAAAAACAAAAAACAAAGGGGCAATGCCAGTTACTGAACTTCTAAATACATGAACTCGATAAAGCAATAAAGATCTTTGAGAAATTTCGTGTCAATGTTAAGCTTTGATCAAAAGTTTTAGCTCATGAAATTAAAGGCACGAACTTTTGGGACGACCTGTATATCTTGCAGATCGGGTGAAAGGAGGGAATTAACTTCCGTCTGTAATCCAAGGTGGGCCGGGTGGACTCCCTTGCCTGGCCTAAACGGGGATGCGCCACTGAACTGGGTGCGGTTTTCGGGATCCCGAGTCTAAAACAAGGTATCATTCTGAACCGGAAGCCTTGAACAAGGTGTGAACGGTGCGTGGTCTACAAAACCAGGATCAAGAGCGAGGAAACCAGCACTCTTGATCTAGCTCTAATGCGTTAGTTTACCTTTTTTTTTTAGTTGAAAATTCTAACCCCTAACTCTGTAGGTGTAGCACATGAATGTAAATTTTGGTAGTTTGCCGGAACCAACCCCCTCCCCTCTGGGGAGTGTAGAACAGCGTATGATGGCTTGTAAATTTTGGAGCGTTAGCTGATGCCTTAGATAGAGAGATACTCTTTATTCTCACGAACTTAGGATTGGGAGATTCGTGATTTGTGATTAAGATGGAGCGGAGTGCGCAATGCATATATCAAAGTCTCTCCCCACATTGGCGGACATTTGTTTTTCTGTTAAGGCTAGGCCCGCGCGATTGTCTTTGCTGTCGCACATGTCAGGCAGACTTGTCACCCATCAGGAGATGAGTATCAACATCGTGAAGTCTAGCCTGTTCCAGGCTCTCAGATAGTGCCTCCTGTTTTATTTTCGTGTTTGCCCTTTCTCAGACTATCTCGGAGCCTGGAACACGCTACGTGAAGTAAAGAAACCGAAGCGATATGTAGACGAGGAATTAAGTTGGTCGATGCTACTTTAAAAGTCTGCACTTTGGTCCGCCGTTCCCAGTAGCGGCTAGCGTTCTTAAATGTCTTTGAGAGATAAGGAATTTTCTTTCTGAAAGCGTGCAAAAATTTGGTTGTTGATGATGTTAAAACCCCGCGGATTCCTGACTGTTGTTTAGAACCTTTAGTGCATAACGGCAAGAATCATCATCGTTTTCTCCGTTTCCTTAGCTTGTTTTGACAGCGTGTACAGAAGTAAGCCATAAAGACAACGATATCAAATACAGTCGGCGAACGGTTTTGCAATGGCTTTATTAACTACAGGCCTTGTCACGCTAAATTTCAAACTTTAACATCGGCCCAAAACTCTACTTATCTACAGTACTCAAAAGGGCACCTTAGTGTTAATAAAATGGCTGAATTCGAATACCATACCTCCTAAAATCGCGCAGATACGAAACCCAATTCAATATAAGAGTATTTGTCCTGCAGACTTCGATATGAAGTTGGGACACTTTAACTGCGAGGATCTTCCCTACATTTATGTATTCATTCCGCGGTTTAAATATTTGAAATTCATATATCAATTATTTCATCTTCATCTTTTCCTGGGTGTGCGGTTACGAACCAATTTACCGTATTTATTCGAATAAGCGCCCAACCTCGAATTAGCGCCCACCTCGAATAAGCGCCCATCCTAAAGGCAGAAAAAGTTAATAAGCGCCCAGCCTCGAATAAGCGCCCACCCCCTCCTCCTCCTAATCAAAATCAAATAAGCGCTTACCCCCACCACACCCACTTGAGTAAATAAATTCCAATGGGACACTTCCCAAGGGACGGAGTTTTCTTCAGAGTATTTTACAGAAACCTTGCTTAGTTACTTCTTCGCGTTTTGTTATTAGCATTTATTGTTTTGTTGCAAAATAAACATACTTCACTTGCTGAAAATGGTGAAAATTTAATAAGTGCCCAGCCTCGAATAAGCGCCCCGTCTCAAGGTCCAAAAATTTAATAAGCGCCCAGGGCGGTTAATCGAATAAATACGGTAATGACCATCTCGCAGTTGGGTTGCCAACTCAATTGGTTAGAGCGCTTCACCGGTATCGCAGAGGTCAAGGGTTTGACTTTCGGCAAGCCTGAAAATTTTCCCGGTTTCTTCACGCATATGCAATAGTTGCGGCTTACTTTAAAAATAGAATTTTAAATGTCGTTGCTAATCACTTAAAAAAATTGTTCCCTCATTAAGTTATCACTTACTTTAAAGTCCATGAAGGTTAGCTTTATTCGCGAACCTTTATCCACGTAGATCTTCCACTCACAGTTTGCTTTATTAGGATAGTTTAATGGGAATCCGGGACTAGTGATTTCACCAGTGTTGTTGATAGTTACGTTACCTCCGCACTGAAATGGATGATAACCTATAGATGGTAACAAAGAAAATAATCAGTTATTAAGCAAAATCAGACACTAAATCTTGGAATACGCCCTTTTTATCCAGCACTGGGACAACTTTTAAAACAACCCGGGGTGTACTCAGAAAAAAGTTGTTACGAGGCGGTTATACCGCACGAGAGGACAATCATCTTAATCCGTTCTTAAGACTTCCCGGATTTCTGTTTGCCAGAAACCTTGTTCTCTTTTTGCACATCGTGATAGAGTTGCTTTGGCTGTAATGAGCAATAGTTGCTTAGTCGCACGTGACGGAACTGTTTAACAATTATTCCTCAAGTCCGAATGGGCTCTGAGTCTATAGCCCTGAATCAACGGGCTATTGACTCAGAGGCCATTAGGGTGAGAGGAATCATTGTTTCAGTAAAATCCAACTAGTTGGTAAAAATTATCGAGACAAAACAGCCTAAGCTACTTAAGCTAGACTTAAAACCTTTTTTTTGGTTTTCAAAGCCGGTTTTTTTCGCTACTAGTGGGCTATAACATATAGCCTATATTTAGTGGTAGCTCAACCAATCAGAACGCAGCATTGATACCAGACCACTAGTTGGATTTCAACTAAAAGAATTAGCCCGGCTTTCTTTCCATCCGATGATTTTGTTTTGTTGTATTCAATCAGCATATTCAAGTTACTTTCGAAAACACGATTTGAGGTTTATAAATTAATGACTGGCTGTCTTCCTACCGAAATGATTTTGACCAGATTTTCGGGCAGCTAGTACAGTCTATATTAGAGAAAACTGAAGACACTTGGGAAAGCAAAGTTTGTAGCGTC